AGGGTGTCTCAGATTTCCAAAAACATCAATAGAACACATTTTATACCCAATTTAATTAAGTGATCTCTTATGAATTGAGGTTGCAAACTTCATTGAAGGTTTATGAGAGAATGAAATACAATAGGAAAAATCTGAGACACCCTTTTGGAGGTCAAACTGTGTTGCACAAGAATCTATAAAATATTTTTGGATGGTATGAATAACAAAGACGCTAATTTCATTCAAGTGTGGACATTACATTATAGCAACTAATTACATAATAATTAATTATGTAATAATCATGTCATAATGAAATAATCACCATTTGAAAGATTAATCTTTCTTCTTTCTTTTGGTACCTCATTTATAAAATTTAAAGCTGGATGAAAGTAATTACATCAATTTAAAGTTGTCTGATTTGGGGTGAAAAAATCTTTGTATTGTGCTACCTTAATTTGTGTATCAGGCCGTTGGATTTCTCGTTCGAATTGAACTTTGTCATGTTTTATACCTTATTATCAGGTGTGAAATTCGCACATTTTGAAACTGTTCTGCGACCTACTGTTGATTCATCATTATTCGTTGGATGTCAATTTTCGTGGAATTCGTGGGTACAGGTGAACCACGAAATTAAATGTTCAACGAATGACAAATTTTCTATAGGCTTGTATGAAGACTTCGGCAAAACCACAAAATTAAATATCCACAAACATGTAAGTTTTTCTTCATCCACGAAAATTGGTTCCCACGAAAAGAAATGAATCCACAGTATATACCTTACATTTACGTCATTTGATCTCTGGTGGATAGGTGTCTCATCGGTAATTTTACCACATTTCATTTATATCGATGACCTTAACCGTTTTTTTCGAATCTTTTGGGAAACTATGCTTGTCAATCCTCTTCAACTTGAACTAGATTTGACCTTCAAATTTGTTTTAATACGGCACGTGTGTATGGCTTACCAAATTATAAGCATAGTTCTTTTAAGCGTTTTATTCTTGTTCTGTTTACCCGAACCCTGAGCTATCCATTATCCCCACTTATACATGTGGTCCGTAAAGTCAATGAACATGTCTTTTTCTGATTTGTATGTATGCCTGATTAAATAAGCCATGATGGAATAATGTTAATGTTTATGTAAAACGTAACAATACAGTACACATTGTATTACGAATTATGAGTCTATATTAAAGTACTTCATATTTCACAACATAATTCTTTTTATACGTCATTATATAAGTTAGATAATTGATAAATATAAAAATAGGGAGATGTGGTAGGATTGTCAACGAGACAACAAATCCACCAAAGTTCAGATGAAGTGGATGTAAGCAATTATAGGCAATGCTTCTGTAGCTTTAATCAAAATTCTCAGTTTAATCATTTTATACTTTGTTTAAGATTCAGATAATATTTACTAATGAACAATGTTATTTCTTTATATTTTGTAATTATATTTAGTAGACTTGATCTGGTTTAAACAAAAACCCTTGTCCCACCAACATTCTTGTATTTGTTTTGTGTCATGTAAGATTTTTTAAAAACAAAATAGCCAAATCCATCTATGGTCAACTTTGCCTGAGGGAGTTGAACCTTAGTTTTATTAATCATTTTCCAAACAAAATTTTCCAAACAAAAAGTCCATCATTGAAAACTATAATTTAAAAAAATATGTTTATATAGTTAAAAAATAATACTTAAATTCAGTGAAAAACATATAAAGACTATGCATAGTCAAAATAATAAACATGAAATTATTTAGATAGGCATCAATTTCGTTATAGATTGAAATATTTTTTAAATGATATGCCGTTTTTACATTTTTGTTTTTATATTTGAATTGGAGTTTTTTTTTTTCTTTAAGATACCAAGAAATCTTACAGTCTTTGAATTACGTTCAAAAGTTTACTTACAATTTGAAGGATTTACTCGGGTTGCATAAGATTAAAAAAAGAATCATACTGTGTTACAGTGACACCTAAAAATAAAACACTAATTTCTCTTATAATTTAATTTACTCAAAGTTTTCCCATTTTCGCATTTTTTTTAAATGTAATTCTTTATTAGAAAGTTAACTCAACCTAATATTTCACGTATGTTTAACACATTATCTAATGATAGGTCTAAAGTAAGTTTATTTTGTAGATTTCCTTTGTTTCCAAAGGAGCGACACCGGGTGGGTCGATAAGGTAAGATCTCCTACTATACATGTATCACCCGCCATGCGAATTTACACTCAGTCAAACGTCAACATCGGGAATAGAACAAAATCTATAGAATAACAGATCAAACGACTCTACTGGTATCTAAAGATCTAAAACTGAGAAAACATGTCGCTAGTCAATTGAGACAACGACAACTTGTATCTGTCAACCTTTTGGTAATGGTGACCATAAATCTAATGAAGTGGATTTTTGTTGTTCTTCTTTATAATTCTGTTGAATAGTTTTATTTGCGTACGAAACACACCCCTTTTAAGTTCATATAAAGTGAACATGCACAAGAGTAACGCATTAACTGAGATATATTGATACGACACGATGGAGCAGATGTTAGTACCTGCTGAAAAAAGGGAGGTTGATAATTGGAAAATTGAATATATTGAATATAAAACCACCTCTACTGGTACTTCATGATAGATTGCTTTATATATAAATTGGGTAAAATAATTTTACTTTTACCTTTAGATCAATACAGCATAAGTCAAAAAAGTATTTACAAAACAAAACTCCAAGGTATATTCAAAAAGGGGGAAGTCCACAGAACCTGAGAAAATCAAACGCTCGCGTATATCAACCATTGGAACGAAAGGAAAACATCTGTCATATTCAAGAGTGTCAATTATAAGCTCATTTGGCCCAACAGGTCGGTATGAGCTATTTCTATAACTTGGCGTCCGTCTTCGTCGTTTATACAAAAATATTCTCCTTTGAGCACAGGAGCACCTGAGATCCCCCGGTTTTTGGTGGGGTTCGTGTTGCTTAGTTTTTAGTTTTTAATTTGTGTTTTGTAAACTGTTGGTTTTTCGGGGTTTTTTTTGAAATGGCATTTTTAGTTTGGGAAATAAGTATTTATGGAACCTCAACATTTATGTATAAAAACTAGAAGACGTGGAATACATGACCTAGACTGCAACCCAGGAACAAAAATAACCATAAGATATCTAAAAGGCATCAGTCTTTAACAATTGACACGTGTCTATACAATATTTTAGCTCAAAATGGTTTGGAGTCGATGAAAATTGTGTTTAAATAAAACACAAAGTTGTCCTCATAACTTTTAAAAACATTAACATATGAAACAAGACAACGTAATAAGATTTTTCTGACTAAAGACCGGTTCACGAATATTAGGCGGCGTTAAACAAGATATTTAAAATCTGAGCCCTCCCCATAATTATTCTCGATCAATGGACAACCTATACGCACATCAAATAGTACACTTTAGAGATCAGGACATCACTGAACTCCTAAATACAGGTAAAATAGAAGACGAAAAAACGAAAAATAATCATAAATGATGTTATATTAAAGACTGATCGTATTCAGTGACCACAAGCTTAAAGTTCTTGACCTGTTGATGTGGAATTATGCCGTCCTATCAATTCTACCAAAAAGCTGTGCCAACCATGTCTTACACCTTTTTTTCATAGCGAGTACTTTAACAACTGAAAATGAACAAGTCAGAACAATCAAAACAAGTGAACACTTATTGAATCCAGATATCAATACTACTAAAGGAAGGAACCGATTTCATTGAGCCACAACTCCTCTGAAACCATACAAAGTCGGAAATATTTGTGATATGACGTATAAATGTAGTGTTTTGTACTTCCTAAATTTGTCTTTGAAACAGTCTTTTTTCCACAGAAAATGCCAATTTTTGAGAAAATATCCAAATTCGGAGACCGTTATCGATCCATGTCTTATACGCTTTCGCGAAGGCTCAGTCGACGTACTGCCCGCGAAATTTAAAAACTCTTTGTTTTTAACACTTGCCCAATTGTACCGCGATTCGCGGGCATCTTCTAGTAAAACAAAAATCATAAAAGGGGCTCGTGTAGTTTAGGAAGCAAATATATATGGGAACTTTGAGATGTTCAGTAGCAGCTTTTAATTCAGTCGTTATTGAAGTACTTCGGTAAGGTATTTACGTTAATCGACGAAAACATTGTTTACACAACACGTTTTCCTAAAGTTTGTTCTATAGCCTCGGCATCTTTCAGAAGAAATCTTGTATTAGGTCATTTTCGAAATATTTAAAACAAAATATCTTCAAAAATTGATGATTTTTTAAAACAAGGAATCAAAACTTTATAATCAACAGTCTCTCGTCTTTAGAATGATTTGCAGAAAGGGGAAAGGGAGGCGTTAATGAGTTTACAAAACACCTCTTCCAGTTAATTTTAAAAGGTGGATGGAATTTTGGGCCTTTCTTAGAAACACAACACCTCACGGTATTTGACAAAGTGTCCGGTAACAACATGGCCACACGGATCATATAATAACCTATGATTATCAAAGCTTTCTAGAGCAGTAAAATTGGTGCCGTCAATATTATAATTACCACTTGGCTGATACCTTTGCTGGTGGACTATTTGTTCCCGATAGTATCACTAGCTTAGTAGCCAGTACTCCTACCATGCCTTTTTTAAAATTTGTTGTTATAAAATTTCGAAATCTTTTTGAATAAAGGAATTTTTCTCCCTCGTGGAAAGCTCTGATTCCTGGTCCAGTTTTGAATTTACTTTTGTTCTATTTGTGGTTTTATCAGCTCTTAAACGTTTGTATTATGTTTTGGGCTTTCAAATATTTTGGCCAAGAGATAATAATAGTCACATTTCGCACATTTGGTTCAATACAATGGGTACCGTCAATGTTATTTCAATTACCAGTCAGGAGTGTTGTATCCAATGTCTACGTCGGCAGCAAACGATGTACAGTTAAAACTAACATTTGATCTTTTTTAGGTGTAAGATAGAATAAGTAAAGCGGTATCATAAATAACGGAGAAAAACATTTCTGAACATTAAAATCATTTACTTAACATGCTATTTTGATTAAAGAAAAACAATTCTCTATCAACATATTCATGTTTCAAATTGGGTTATTTAAAATTCTAGAAAAAAAGCACAATTCTCTCTCATTACAAATCCCTATATTGTACTCAGGATGTATTGTTACTACGATTATATCATTCAGATCGACTACAGAAGACATTAGACTAAGATCCATTCATATCATTTCTAGAATCGTGTTTTAAACTTTCTTCCATACTTTGCAATTTGTCCATCATCTGAAAAAGTAAAAGAGCAAAGATGTAGACGTAACAAGTGTTTTGATCGAATTTTAAATCAATTAAAATGTCTTTTGAGAAGTTATGAAAGTGTTTCTTTATTGGACAGATATGTGCTTTAAGTTGCACTAATTTATCAACTGTTAAAATACAATGAAATAAAACAGTCTTGAGTTTGCAAATAATTAAACAAATATCAGAAAAAAATCAATTATTTAAACTACAAACCATTTTCTTTGTATCCTTTAATTCTGTTAAGCTACCTTCAAGATTTTTAAGTCTGTTGATTATCTGAAAAAAGATAATAGATAATCAAACATATTCCGAGTAAATGTAGTCTTCTTTATTTTAGTAACATATTCCGAGGAAATGTAGTCTTCTTTCTTGTAATAACATATTCCGAGTAAATGTAGTCTTCTTTATTGTAATAACATATTCCGAGTAAATGTAGTCTTCTTTATTGTAGTAACATATTCCGAGTAAATGTAGTCTTCTTTATTGTAATAACATTGTGATTAAGCTTTTACAGTGACAAACTCGTATTTATACATTATGTTTGCACAGAAATAAAAAATAAACAAATAATAAAAAAAATAATAATGATTTTATTAATCAACGAATAAATATATGCATAATAGTTAACATAAAAAAGGCACATAACTACGTTGAGCAGTGATAACAAAACCTATACTGTTGACACGAGGACTTTGCACAAATGTTTGTAGAAACAATGTGATGACAGACATTTACACAGTTATGTTTTGCACACAGATTTATGTACAACAATTTTGATAATAAGAGGATTTTTTTACTGGAAAATCGTTTACATCTAACATAATTGTATCAAACAAGGATATGCAATTGCACAAACAACATGACGAATGCAAAAAAGTAAAACAAAAAATACCGAACTTCAAGGCAAGTTCAAAAGGGGAAAGTCCAAAAATCAAAAGCAAACGCTATCAATCAACGGAACAAGTGCAAAACAACTGCCATATCCCTGATTTGGTACAGGCAACACATGGAACAAGTTCTGCTTACCTTGCCGTAGCACCTAAACTTACCCCCAGTCTTTTTGTGGGGTTCGTGTTGCTCAATCTTTAGTTTGCTATGTAGTATTTTGTGGAGTCGTCCGTCTTTTTGTTTTACTTGGTGTTACCAGTTTATCTTCAGCCTGTTTTTTTAAAGAATATGTTTGTTTACATACCTCTTGAGTTATCCTGTTATTACTCTCCTTTTGTATTTCTTGCTTTGTGCTATTAGAGTCAGGTTCTCTCTGAAGCATTTATAAAAACATGTTTCTATAGAAATAACGTTGACTGATTCTAATATATTTTTCTTAGTTGTTTAAAACCAGTTGTTGGCATGATACGGGTTATGTTCTTCTCATATATATTTTATGATAGTATGATACTAAATCCCTAACGGGAGGGATTATACTTGATTTTCATATGATGAAGACATAATCTTTCAATCAGTTTAATTGAGATCTGGAGCTGGCATGTCAGTAACTGCTAGTAGTCCTTTGTTCATTTATGTATCATTGTCATTTTGCTTGGTTTCTTTTGTTACCTATTCGGACATCGGACTCGGACTTCTTTTGAACTGAGTTTTACTGTGCGTATTACTATGTGTTTCTTTATTATACATTGGCTAGAGGTATAGGGGGATGGTTGAGATCTCACAAAGCATGTTTAACCCCGCCGCATTTTTGCGCCTGTCCCAAGTCAGGAGCCTCTGGCCTTTGTTAGTCTTGTATGTTTTTTAATTTTAGTTCATTTATATGTTTTGGAGTTTAGTGTGACGTCCATTTTCACTGAACTAGTACACTATTTTATTTAGGGGCTAGCTGAGGACCACCTCCAGGTGCGGGATTTTCTAGCTGCGTTGAAGACACAGTCTGTTCTTTGGTCGGGTTGTTGTCTCTTTGACATATTCCCCATTTCCATTCTCAATTTTAGAGATACATGAATGCACAACTGTTTAAATTAAACACATTTAATGATATTGATAAATGCATGATCCGTCATTGTATCTGATAGGACACCGTAAATTCTGAAAACAACACTTTATAAATTGCATGCGTCCGAAGCGCTTTTTATGATTTTTGTTCGTCAGGAACACTCAATGACGACTAATTGAAAACTAAAGATGCATAAGAACCGAACCAGTTGATGAGCTACATGACCCCCCCCCCCCCCCCCCCCCCCCAAAAAAAAAAAAAACAAACAAACAAAAAAAACCTAAAATTAATAGCCAAATTGATCTAATTCAGCATTGTCGGAGGGAATTGAAATCTTAGTTTCTAAATAAGTTATAAATTTATAAACAGACAATTTTTCAAAAGTTTGTTAAAAATCATTTCAGTACCGAAATACTGACTACTGAGCTGATGATACTCTCGGGGAGAAATAGAATACTAGCAGCGGTATCGACCCAGTGCTGTTAAAAATGAAAACAACACTTTATAATTTTCATGCGTTCGAGGAGCTTTTCTGGATAAACCTTAATCAGAAATTTCCGATGTCGAATATTTGAAAGCCAACGATGTATAAGAACCGATACAATTGGAGAGCTACATGTTCAAGATACAATTTAATAGCCAAATTGATCTAATTCAGAGTTGTCGGAGGGAATTGAAACCTTAGTTTCTAAATTATTTCAAAATTTATAACCGGACAATTTTTCAAAAGTTTGTTAAAAATCATTTCAGAACAGAAATACTGACTACTGAGCTGATGATACTCTCGTGCATAAATAGTATACTAGTCGCGGTATCGACCCAGTGCTGTTAAAAATGAAAACAACACTTTATAATGTTCATGCGTTCGAGGAGCTTTTCTGGATAAACCTTTATCAGAAATTTCCAATGTCGAATATTTGAAAGCCAACGATGTATAAGAATCGATACAATTGGAGAGCTACATGTTCAAGATACAATTTACATTTAAAATTCCCCAAATCTATACGTTTCACATACAGCTGTTTTAACATAGAATTAAAACCAAAACATGTTAAATTACCTTGATAATTTCCGTATGCTACACTAATTTGGAGTTGGGTAACACCCCTACGATAACTACACCGATTATCTCAGTTTTTGTTCATTGCCTAAAACCCATATGACTTCTACACCGATTATCTCAGTTTTTGTTCATTGCTTAACGACATACCGATTATCTCAGATTTTTCATTGCTTAACGACACACCAATTACTACACCGATTATCTCAGTTTTTGTTCATTGCTTAACGACACACCGATAATCTCAGTTTTTGTTCATTGCTTAACGACACATCGATTATCTCAGATTTTTCATTGCTTAACGACACACCAATTACTACACCGATTATCTCAATTTTTGTTCATTGCTTAACGACACACCAATTATCTCAGTTTTTATGTATGACTAAAAGGCACACCGATTACTACATCGATTATCTCAGTTTTTGTTCATTGGTTAACGACACATGGATTACTACACCGAATATCCCAGTTTTTATTTATGGCTTAACGACACACCGATAACTATATCGATTATGTCAAGTTTTTGTTCAATGCTTAACACCCAACCGATTACTACATCGATTATGTCAGTTGTTGTCATTGCTTAACGACACCCCAATTACTACACCGATTATCTCAATTTTTATTCGTTGATTAACGACACACCGATTATCTCAGTTTTGTTCATTGTTTAACTACACACCGATTACTATACCGATTATCTCAGTTTTTATAAATGGGTAAAAGGCACACCGATTACTACATCGATCACCTCAGTTTTTGTTCATTGCTTAACGACACACGGATTACTACACCGAATATCCCAGTTTTTTTTAAGACTTAACGACACACCGATAAATATATCGATTAAGTCAAGTTTTTGTTGAATGCTTAACGCCCCACCGATTACTACGTCTATTATGTCAGTTGTTGTTCATTGCTTAACGACACCCAAATTACTACACCGATTATCTCAATTTTTGTTCGTTGCTTAACGACACACCGATTACTAAACCGATTATCTCAGTTTTATTGATGGCTTAACGACACACCGATTACTACTTCGAATATCACAGATTTGTTAATTGTTTAACGACACGCGGATTACTACACCGAATATCCCAGTTTTTATTTATGGCTTAAGAGCCAATCTGCCAGAAAACCATGCAAAACCGTCCGAATGTCATTTTTTCCAAATGAGTTCATATTTGGCATATTGGTGCACCTTAGTAATGTAAATAACCACACAAATTTTTTTTGGGAAAATATTGAACCGATCTGAATATTTTTGAGCGCCATGTTTTAACAGATGAAATTGCTCGAAAACAGCAAAAATAAGCCTTTTTTGGCATATTTCGCTGGTTTAAATAAAAAAATATGGTAACATTTATAATTTTTTGATAGTTGTTCCTAGTAATACATCACTTTAAGTGTAAAAATGCATAGAATTAACAATGCTGTCTATTAAGTGTATGTATAATCTAACTGTTTCAATATTTCTTATTTAGCTACATGTCCAAAATGGCTGATTTTGGTCATTTTTCAGAGCCAAAATACTCCAAGACCCGTTTATGATTGTAAAACAACATATCTACTTGCAAAGTATAACTATATATACCAAATCAAAAAAAATATCAAGCTCGGCAAATAATGTTGGTGTCTGGTATATGCCACAACAAAATGGGGTAACCTGCATATTCAAATTTTCTCAATTTTGCCGTCTAATTTGTAACTACTGACATATGATAGGATCTGGACTTATAAATAAGTATAAAAACAAATGGAAAAGAATAATTAATGTTTCATTTAATACATTAAGAAAATAATCATACATAAATACAAATTATTCATTATAAATCTAGAGGCTCCCAGGAGCCGAAATAGATCGTATTGACAAATTGTGAACCTAAAACGATAAAAAACACATATTTCAAACGCAATCAATTTAAATTAGAAGTTAAACAATTCAGAATAAGTTCAGACTGTAAAAAAAAAGTTTCTTCTGACCACTTTTGCAATTTATTCTTATAATATATTGATATAGTTGTCGGATAGTAGCAGAAAACTGTGAAAATTTGTAAATTTACACATTTCAGGGACAATAGCTCATAGATGTTATGTCCAATTTTTCAGAAAAAATTTGGGTATTTAGATCTTGTCATGTTGATAGTTTTTATCAATATATATATATATACATATATTGAAAAGTTTTTAAATTTTGTATACATATATATATGTATGACACTTCTTCTAAAGTTATTAAGATGATGGTTTAAAAGTGAAAACTGTAAACAGATGATTTTAACAGACACTTAGTGATGGAAATTTTTTTATGACCCTTTGAGCCTAGTATGCTAACAAGGCAAGATTTGCCAGGTACCTATATCTATGTTGCTGCAATGTGGTCAATACAAACATGAAAATCATAAATGCTTTTAAAAAAAAATCCCATAACTAGACGAAAAACAAATTACTTAGTCTATATATACCAGTGCAAAATTTATAAAGAATTTTGAATGAAATTGTATAGCTGTTAAGATTACTGTACCTATAATGCTCTACATCACATCCTCGGAGATAACAGAATTAAAATAAGTCATATGAATCTTCAAATTTCAATATAGTTGAATGTGTTTTTTTATACTTGAACGGCTATAGGTTTTACTATAAAACAAGTGTACATTAACTTTCTTGTAAAAGAAAAACCATAACATTAAAATCTCCATAAATGATGAACTGTTATTTTTTGAGACATCATCCCATGGAAGATTTAACTGATGTTTTAAAGTTGGAAAGTTTCTGTTGCTTGTTTGGTTGGTTGAAATTGTTTCTGTTAGAAGCATTATCAGTCTCCCAATCTGATGTTGACTGCTGTGAAAGTTCAGTTGTTGTTGACACTGACTGAAAGGTTAGCTGCGAGTCTAGATCTGAAAACCACAAAACATACATACATAAATCAGGCTGTTAGTTTTCATATTTTTTCATTTTCTTATTTTGGGGCCTTTTATGGCTGAATATATATGCAGTATAGGTCTTGCTCATTGTTGAAGGCCATATGGCGTATGAAGACCTATAGCTTTACTTCTATGTCATTTGTTCTCATTGGCAATCATACCACATTTTTTTTTAATTTCATATATACCACTGACAGGAAATAAAATTGACAACTTTTACTGTAAGTGGATGCAGTTACAAAATTCTCCCAACTAAAGCCAAATCATTTTTGCAGAATAGTTATTATCCACTCCTTTTAAGCATGTCCAAATAGCCCTTAACATCTTTACAACAATAATAAAATGCTCCCCTGGGGCGCAGCTTGATACGACCGCAGAGGTCGAACCCTGAACAGTTGGGGCAAGTATGGACACAACATTCCAGCTTGATACAGCACTGAATTTGGATTGTAATTAAATATTTGACACAGCATAGGTTTCTCACACAGAATGAAAGTGGTCTAAGAACTTAAAAATTTTTAATTTACCTATTCAAACCATATCATTATTATTTGCTTTTATATATAAATCAGAAATAACCAATTTAAAATGGAAAATTTTAAAGAAAAAAAAAAAGAAAAAAAATCCCCCCCAATTTTTTGAACCCCCTTATGATTCATCACCCCGAAACTCAATCCCAGCTTTCCCTTTGTGGTATGGTACCTTGCAGTACAATTTCAGAGAGATCCATACACTTGAACACAAGTTATTGTCTGGAAACTAGAAAAATGCTTGTTTTTTGGCCCCTTTTTGGCCCCTTTTTGGCCCCAAATTCCTAAACGTTTAGGGCAATTACCCCCAAACTCAAACCCAGCTTTCCCTTTGTGATATGGAACCTTGCAGTACAATTTCATAAAGATCCATACACTTACACACAAGTTATTGTCCTGAAACTAGAAAAATGCTTGTTTTTTTGCCCTTTTATGGCCCCTAATTACTAAAATTTTAAGGGAATTACCCCCAAAATCAATCCCAGCCTTCCTTTTGTGATATGGAACCTTGTGATACAATGTCAGAGAGATCCATACACTTACACACAAGTTATTGTCTGGAAACTAGAAAAATGCTTATTTTTTGCCCCTTTTTGGCCCCTTATTCCTAAACTTTTTGGGCAATTACCCCCAAACTCAATTCCAGCTTTCCCTTTGTGATATGGAACCTTGAAGTACAATTTCATAAGATCCATACAATTACACACAAGTTATTGTCATGAAACTAGAAAAATGCTTGTTTTTTGCCCCTTTTTGGCTCCTAATTCCTAAAATTTGGAGGCAATTACCCCCAAAATCAATCCCAGCATTCCCTTTGTGATATGGAACCTTGTGATACAATGTCAGAGAGATCCATACACTTACACATAAGTTATTGTCATGAAACTAGAAAAATGCTTGTTTTTTGCCCCTTTTTGGCCCCTAATTCCTAAAATTTGGAGGCAATAACCCCCAAAATCAATCCCAGCATTCCCTTTGTGATATAGAACCCTGTGGTACAATGTCAGAGAGATCCATACACTTACACACAAGTTATGTCTGGAAGTTACAAAAATGATTATTTTCTCCTCTTTTTGGCCCCTAATTCCTTAACTGTGGGTACCATAACCCCCAAAATCAATCACCACCTTCCTTTTGTGGTATTGAACCTTATGGTAAAATTTCATTGAGATCCATTCGCTTCAACTGAAGTTAGAGTGCAAAAACTAATGTGTCTTCGGACGACAACGACGACGCCATCGTCATACCAATATACGACCACAAAAATTTTTTTGCGGTCGTATAAAAATTGCCTCCATTTGGTTTGGCATGTCAAATTACCTCTCAATATAATTTTACATTGAAAACAGACAATGGTGATAATTTGACCGCTTTTAGTAACAATCTTTGAAATGGTGGCCATCTTTATATCTGTTCTCTGTGTCAAAGTACAGCTAAATATCAATATTCTTCAAATCAAACTCAACAAAATTGAAAATTTTACCCTTTATTTGCTGTGTCCATCTTTAAAAAAAAATTTCATTGTTTTGTTGGCATGTCAAAAGTGCTATAATTCCTTAATGTCAATTTTCATTAAATTAACCAGTGTTGAAATTTGTGCCATCCTTGGTGGCCATCTTGAAAATGTTTGACATCAGATAATCATCCACATATTGTGCATTTCTTTTCACTAAAGTTTCATTTAAAAAGATAACACCAGTTATCTCAGAAAAGGACAAATTTTGTGGAAGATGAAGAAAAAATGCAAGTTTGGACAGAACATTCAAGTTATAACAGCTCTAAATTTGTAATGGGATTAAATATTTGACAAAGAATAGGTTTCTAACACAGAATAAATATGGTATAAAGATAAAGTTTAATAGATAGCATATCAGAGAACCCCAAGATCAAATTAAGATTTAAAATTTAGTTTAATTTTGGACCCTTTGGACCTCAATGTAAACCAATTTCATAATAGGGCCCAAAAACTAAATACAGGTTAGATTCAGACTGAATCAGCATCTTTAAAATTATTGTTGAAATCAAACACAGTTAAATTATGGACCCCATTTGAACCAACTTGAAAACTGGGACCAAAATCATAAATCTAAGAACATATTTATATTCAGGATATTTGATTATTTCTATTTATCATTCAAAGAACCCTAATTCATTGTAATTAGAGTTCAAGTTTTGTTAAAATTAAACTAAGTTAAAATTTGGACCCTTTGGACTTAAAAATGTGGACAAATTTGAAAACCGGACCAAAATTAAAAATCTAAATATAAAACATTTGCATTTTGTATATCAAAAGAACCTCAAGAATTCAAGTTGTGTAGAAATAAGAAAATAAATTTTGGACCATTTTGAAATCAATGTGAACCAATTTAAAATAGGGCACAATTGCAACATCTTAAATTATTTAAATACATTGTTAGATTTAGCATATTAAGAACCCAAATAATGTATTTATTTTAATTTGTTCTTGTCCTAAACATGCATGAACTATTTGCCATTGGACATTAGCATTACCAACAACCAATCAATTAATCGATCAGGTGAAAAATCTTCAAAAGTACCAATAAAAATCTCCCCCTTTTATATTTGAAAAAGTAAATCCACAAAAATACTGAACTCCAAGGAAAATTCAAAAACCAAGTTAACAAAGACCTGTTTAATAAAACAAATGATGTACAAATGTATAACATGTAATTGAATAATTATGTTATTATATAAGTGATTACATATACTTTGTATGATTACCATGTTATACAAACAGTTAAATTAATATATAAGTTAATAATAACTTACCAATATCTTCTTCTATACATGTATTTAGTTTGACCTGGCTATTGTCACTTTTACAAAAATTCATCTTAATTGAGCATTGCTTGCATATATATAGCCCTACAAATAAAAAGTGTTAAACTATAAAATAATTCTTCAATTTTGTTTTACATGAAATAAAATATATCAGACAGGAAATGTAGGGTAGTGTAGCATCACTGTGCATGTAGTTTAAATGTATGTTTTTTCTTTTAAAAAGGGTTCTATAAGTAATCTACATACATGTACATGTAGAGTCCTAAAATTGAACTTTACAAAAGTTTGCAATGCTTTTGATTTTTTTAGTCTCCATGGCCTATTAGTTCATTAATAAAATATTATTCTCTGGATAAAGTTGTCTAGTGTTACATGTACAGTTTGTTGTATGTAAAACATGTATTTGTAGGAGGCTTTTCCACGAGATAAAAGTTTTTTTAGTAGACAAAGAGCTGAACAACTTCCAGTAAGAACTGAAAATATAACTTAGGGGAAGAGAATAAAAACCTGACCTGCTAAACGTTGAATATGTTGAAATAGATTTTGATTATTATCATGATTCTGGTCTATAAATTGATTTTTTAAAGCAGAAAATAAATATATATTGTACCCTGGTTAATAGCTTGAAAATTAAAATTCTGTCCTAAGCTGACAAGGACATAAATATTTTGACCATTCTAACCCTCCCCCTTGCTTTTTTAATCAAATGGTCCCCAGACAGAACAATGTATATACGGATATATATTATTTGCTTGCACTTTGCCATAGGAAATAAATAAGATGTCTTAGAAACAGGTCAGGTGTAAAAGAATATTCACATGCCCCTTCAACACCCACCCCCTTTTTTTAATCTAGCTAATGGATCAATTGTTGGTCCCCTAATTTCAGATTGACTATATGGAACAAATGAAAATTGATTGTAAGATTTGTACCTGTTCCTACTGGAATAACTCGTCCTGTATACAGCCTGTTTTGAAAGGGTGAAGATCCTTGGTCAGCTTTGGCTTTGCTGGAAGAGGGTTGGACGAGATGTTGACATCTTGCTTGACTATCATGTCAATGAATTCCATAAAAGTCCCTGTACTTCGAGCATATTCAAAGACAAGATGATGTAACAACCATGGGAAAATAAACCACTCCTTGTCTTATATAAAATAAGGAGTCCTGTTGGAAATTCTACACCATAGTTTTCAGTATTACTCAGACTTCCTAAATGTAGATGAATGGTAGTCTGTATCTGTATGAATATGTTTGGTTACCAATGCTGGTTTCAATACCACGGTAGAGAGAGTGTCGTTGATTTATTGATGGTGCGCCAGAGCAGTTTTGACACTCTCAATCTCAATTTTGGTGCGAGCAAGGTGGTTCCACTCGCTCACTTTTTTTTTTGTTTTGCTCGTTGAAATCTAAAAACACTTTTTGCTGTTCATGGACTTATTTTTCCAATCAATATTTATCATGTTTATTCACTAAATTATTGTCATGATTGTCAAATTTCTTGGCAGTAATTATTTTTTTTGAAAATGCTATTTTGGTCTTTAGTGCATTCAGATATCTTAAATAGTTTGTAATATGTAGATGTATAAGGCTGGGATAGCCCACATGCTCATCCTAGATTATTAAAGTCACAAACTTCACTGTAAACATTTGTCTGCCAAACCATCACTGGGAGCTGACATGTTTGAGATCTTACCCAAGGGAGATAAGTCAATGGAAAAGCATAAAAGATGGACTCCCTGGTTTCAGACAATTTAATGATTTTTGGACTTGTTGTACAAATACGTCTTATTTCAATTTTCAGACAAATTGATTTTACTTGTTCGAATGATATCATGAGCCATTTTAGTACCAATTGTGTTTAGAATTTAATTAAAATCAAAATCAAAATGTGTCAATTTGGGACTAAAATCACCATTTTTCCAAGGCATAAATTAACATATAATAGTCATTTGCCAAGCTTAATATTTTGTTTTGATATAAAACATACCCCATAGTTAAAACCGATATAAGTTGCAAACAAATCCGGAATGGGTCTTGCAAGATAGAAGCGAATGAAAACCACGTAAATTCATGTATGAAAAACCCCGCCTTTGTGTCCCTGCTCCTGGCAATGTGCCAAATCGTTTAAATTTTCATTTGTATTGATCATAACATAGTAAAATGGATGAGTTTCAGCTGACATTACTCTAAAAACTCAACTACCCCATTTAATATGCTTCTGGGTCATTCTTAAAAGCCATAAAAAAGTTGGATTTTTCCTTGGTTTCATTATGAATTTACAGAATTATGCAAATGAGGCTGTTACTAAAAATAGATACGATTCTGGGAAAAATTAAGTGGTCAAATTCTTTTATTTTATGTCAAGGATTAAGATGATGTATAAAAATTTGTCAAGTTGTGATTGTCGATTTGGACGATTTTCTGAATATTGCATGGTTTTCTGGCGGATTGGCTCTTAAGGACACACCGATAACTACTTCGATTATGTCAGTTTGTTGTTCAATGCTTAACACCCCACCGATTACTACACTGATTATGTCAGTTGTTGTACATTGTTTAACGACGCCCCAATTACTACACCGATTGTCTCAGTTTTTGTTCATTGCTTAACGATGCACCGATTACTACACCGATTATCTCAGTTTTTGTTTATTGCTTATTGACACACTGATTACTACATCGATTATGTCAGTTTTTATTCATGGCTTAACGACACACCGATTACTACATCGATTATCTCAGTATTTGTTCATTGTTTAACGACTCACGGATTACTATACCGAATGTTCCAGTTTTTATTTATGGCTTAACGACACACCGATAACTTGATCGATTATGTCAGTTTTTTGTTCAATGCTTAACACCCCACCGATCACTACACCGATTATGTCAGTTGCTGTTCATTGCTTAACGACACCCAAATTACTACACCGATTATCTCTGTTTTATTTATGGCGTAACGACACACCGATTACTACATCGATTATCTCAGATTTGTTCATTGTTTTACGACACACGGATTAATACACCGAAAATCCTAGTTTTTATTTATGGCTTAAGGACACATCGATAACTACATCGATTATATCAGTTTTTTTAATGCTTAACACCCCACCGATTACTACACCAATTATGTCAGTTATTGTTCATTGCTTAACGACAACCCAATTACTACACAGATTATCTCAATTTTTGTTCGTTGCTTAACGACACACCGATTATCTCAGTTTTTTTGTTCATTGCTTAACGACACAGCGATTACTACACCGATTATCTCAGTTTTATTTATGGCTGAATGACGCACCGAGTACTACATCGTTTATCTCAGATTTGTTCATTGTTTAACGACACACGGATTACTACACCAAATATCCCAGTTTTTATTTATTGCTTAAGGACACACCAATAATTACATCGATTATGTCAGTTTTTTGTTCAATGTTTAACACCCCACCGATTACTTCACCGATTATGTCAGTTGTTGTTCATTGTTTAACGACAACCCAATTACTACACCGATTGTCTCAGTTTTTTGTTCGATGTTTAACACCCCACCGATTACTACACCGATTATCTCAGTTTTTGTTTATTGCTTATTGAGACACTGATTACTACATCGATTATGTCAGTTTTTTGTTCAACGTTTAAAACCCCACCGATTACTACACCGATTATGTCAGTTGTAGTTCATTGCTTAACGACAACCCAATTACTACACCGATGATCTCAGTTTTTGTTCATGGCTTAACAACACACCGATTACTGCATCGATTATCTCAGTTTTTATTCATTGCTTAACGACACACCGATTATCTCAGTTTTTGTTCGTTGCCTAACGACACACTGATTACTACATCGATTATCTCAGTTTTTATTCACTTCTTAACACAGCATCCGATTACATCAGTTTTTGTTCATTGTTTAACACAATACCCTTTTACCCCCGTTTTTTATCAGTGCTTAACGCAATATGTAATTATCTCAGTTTTTGTTAATTGCTTAACACAAGTGTTTCTTTCACATCGATTTATGAAATTTATCATCGGTAAACTACTGCAGTTATTGCATTAACTTCATGACACATTGAAACATTCTCTTTTTTCGTAATACAATTTGCCAATTACAAATTTTATGAATAAAGTCGAGCAATCGATTGAACCGTCTTGACAGCCAACTCCCAACTTTCTGTATTAGAAACTTGTAACGGCGGCTTCGATGGTGAAAGCACGTAGATTCACGTTGGTTAGATCAAAACAAACTGAAATATTCCATATTCAGAAAAAAAATATCATAGCTTAATGACATTTTTTTATTTGTAGAAAATGAAACAACACGTTATAAATGTCATGCGTCCGAAGCGCTTTTCTAAATTTACCTTCATCATGAACGCTCAAAGAAAAATATTTGAAAGCCAAGAATGTACAAGAACCGAAACAGTTGAAGAGCTATATAACCAAAAAGGAGCTAAAAAAATAGCAACATCTATCTCAGGTCAGCTTTACATGAGAGAGTTGACACCTTGGTTTATTTATAATTTCAAAATTTATAAACGGACAATTTAAACAAGGTTTTTAATAAATAAATATTATACAATATGATTTAATTTTCAGTCATCTTTTGGTTGCATGAACATACTAATAGTGCCAACGTTGCCCAAAACACAATGCTTTCTGTATAAAAACATATGTATAACGAATTGATGTATATGACATGTATGATTTAATTATATATTTACATCTAAATCGATCACTCGTTTTCGACAATCAAAATTAATTACTGTTGAACAAAAGAAAAGGTTTACCGTAACTGTGTTAACATCTATTTTCCTGCAAAAAAAAAATAATCGTCATCCGTAATAAAAAGAAAATGCACATTATAGCAAATGTTTTTTTTTTCTTTATTTCAAATGAATTCTTGACAGCTGATCTGTCACATAAAGATCATCTTAAATCATCAAACCAATTATTACATGATTTCAGAAAACGAACGGCTCGAGTAGGAACAACTAATTTTTTTTTTGAAATATACGTGTTGACCTTAACAATGTTAGATCTGAAATATTCTCCCCTCAGCGGAGACATGGCCAACACTTTGGCCATAACCCTACGCCACTCGGACAACTAGACTTTATCTATATTTATGGAAAATATTAAGAAGGAAATTTAAGATCATCATTGTCATTATACCTTAAAAACATACACATTATATATGCAAACCAAAAACCAAAAACTTAATGTTTTCTCTTTTTTTCCGATCCTTTAATTGCACACATTATAACTTGATATTTGAAGTTTAAGGATGTAGTCATTTCAGGTTAAGGAATTTTTTTCAGATGTTCGGACTCCTTGGGTTTTTCCTACGATACGAGGTAAAGTATTTTGCCCCATATCACCCACTTTTCTTTTCCTAGAAGACTTAAATAGCTCATAAAAGGTCGTTACTAAAATTTAAGCAGATTCTAGATTTCCTTTCTTACGATTTGAGATCCAAATAATGTCAATGCTAAATATAAGGCTAAAGTCCGAGTCAAACTTATCCCGCCATTTTTTAAAAATCAAATATCTCGAAAAGGAGTGCCATAACCTATCATTATTTTGAGATTATTTTGTTTCTTAACCAATGCTCTTCTGAATTATAATATGAATTTTAAATTCCAAATTTTTTAAAATTTCACCTGAAAACATCCTTAAGTGTGACACCGTCCTTACTTCTTTATAATATTGGCCACTTGACGACGAAAACACATAGCAACAAGAGTTTAAACATTATTCAAGCTCTGTTAATTTTTTCCTCACATAGACAACATGGACAACATGTATTTTAAAGGAAAATATAATTCTTATTTGGGAAGATTAGATTTCAAATAAAGAAAAAGAAGAACACACTGTCTCTAAAATTCATTACACACCATTCAAATATACACTACAAATAGAAAATAATGCATTGAATAGTATATTTACCCTTGGTCTCTTTGAGCCTTTGTCTCCTCTGCTTCTGTCGATTTAAGTTTCAAATCATAATTAGAATCAAAGAGAAAAACTGAAAGTAAAGCACCAAATACTTTTACGATAACTATCAATAGTTAATTTAATTTTTTCATATATTTTTCATTTAAGACTTCATGTAATATAGGGACACTGGTTTAATGTCTTTTTAAACAATGAATGAATATTCTGTAATTGGAACTTCACTTAAATACACGAATAAAGTGAACAACACCTATTTCTATCAAAATAAATATTTTTGAGAAGAGTCAACACTAGATAACTAAAATCATAATATAGATATAAGATGTGGTATGAGTGCTAATGAGACAACTCTCCATCCAAGTCACAATTTGTAAAAGTAAACCATTACAGGTCATAAGTACTTTTACATTAAAATGCCTTCTTAAGGATATCACCAAAACAAGGACTACTAAGCATCTTCAATTTTCCAATTTGACACAGATCGACGACTTCAAGGTAAAATAGCAGACTTGATCAAATTACCATTTCTCTGCAGCAACCTTTACATATTTTAAACAATGCTTTACGCACGTGTATCGTCACACTATACATGCTTCATGATTAAAAAATGCTTCAACACAGTTACACCCCCCCCCCCCCCCCCCCCCCAAGGGTGACTAGCGAATAGAAATATGGGCACCACTGTTCTTCCACCGACCCCAGTAAAACCCTCGCTAATTTTTACCGACCTTCATCCCGGACCGTCTCTATTACAGGACTTACCTTTTGTATTAATTGTTAATTTGTTCTCGTCCTGAATATGCATGACATATTTGCCACTGTACGTTAAGCAACCAACAATCAATCAATCAATCAACGCAATTAAGTGGAAAACGACTGATATCAACATACACAGGTTTAACGGAATGAAATGGTTGACCGATACGCTATGTTGTGTACAAACTCAATAGCGACATGTTTTTGCTGTCATAGACTTTCGGATAACAGAATAGTCGTGCGATATGTGACATTACAGACAAGGTACTATTCATAGTTGTGACATTTGTTGTGAGTAAGTGTGGATACGCATTGCGATTGATGGCATACTAACAGACGCTTACCATTTCGAAGCAACCGTTTAGTGTTCATTTGATTCCCCCAGTTTTTAATTATTTACCTTGATTGATTCTTCGCATTTGTATTTGCACTTGAGGTTATAACTGTAAAAGTTTAAGTGTACATCTTTCTTTGAAATGTCTGCAAATTGACTTATCTAAACAAACTTTTCGAAAACCTTCTATTTTTTAAAAGTGCACTATACCTCTGACAAATGGTGGGTGATGATTAAGCTCTTTAGTACGATCAGTTTCGTCAGAATTCTGTTGTCGTAGATTTGCGCAGAGAAGCCACACAATTGCAACTACGGTTCCCGGTAAGGTAAGTAACTGGAGGAGTATTGGAAATATTGTTTGAATACTATATTCCTCAAGAAAAGATGTCTGTAGCTCCGACCAATAAATCATCGATTTTGTATGGACGTCCTCAAAAATGTTACTGAAATTCAATTGAGCAAAGGTGTCAAAATTCGTTTTACAAACAATATGTGTTTATCTTTGGAAAATATGTCTGTTTGGGTTGCTCAGCAACATTTTGTCAATATAACGGACATATAAGCAACTGTAATACAAGTAGGAGGTTTATTTTGTTATAAAACCAGATAAAACCACCATTTTCGGAAAATGCTTGTTCCAAGTCAGGAATATGAAAGTTGTTTTCCACTCGTTCATTTGGTTGCAAACGTTTGATTTTGTCAGTTTTTATGGACTTCCACTTTTTGAATATATCATGGAGTTCAGTATTTTTGTCATACTTTTTTCAAATGCAATGTTGAAGAGTATTAAAAACCAAAAATTCCGATAAGTTGTGCGATACGGATAATACGATCTATTCCTGGGGATAGACAAATATTAGTGTTCCAAATAATTTAACATTTAAAAACATTACATTTACAAAAAAATGAATTCAGTTATCTTTCATACATGTATCAATACCAAAGTGCCGACTACAGGATTTGTAAAAAAAGGCAACAGTAGTATACCGCTGTTCAAAAGTCATAAATCGATTGAGAGAAAACAGATCCGGGTAACAAACTAAAACCGAGGGAAACCCTTGTTGACGAAATGTGTTAATCCGTTGTCACAGATAATATTTGTTTAACGAAGCAGACAGGAGTACAAACAAAATAACTACATTTGTAAGTGTTTTCTGTGATTAGAAGCATATTTATTAGTTCAATATTTCTTTAGTTTAGTTTTTTATGTTTTGTTTTGTATATAATTGGGTGTCGTTTGGTCGTTTTTCGTTTTTTCCATTGGCAATGTCATTTTGATTTCGACTTCTGAGTTTGAATTTTCCTCTGGAATTTTTAGCCTCTCTTTTGTATAGATCTGAGCACATTCAATATCATGTTTTTTTGCATTGTTCAGCGTATACCATTTACTTTATACCTGTACATAGCTATCAAAAGATTCAGCATTATGACCACTGCTATCAATGCGTAAAGGGCTTTTAAGTAAGGTGTAATGTATAAACCAAGTTTCGTTGGACATCGCGGTAAAACTCCACTCACATCACTTTCATATATTGTCTTGTTGAAGGTGCAGTTCGGTTCAGTCACTAAGATTGAATGAGACACAAAATTAGAAACAGAGAAGCAATAATAAACTAATTTTACCAAACAATTTTGTACATTTCACTTGAGAAAGAGTTGTTCTTATTATTATAATTTACAAATCTAATAATTTATGCTCTTTCAAAACATGTCAAGTTTAATATACAATTTGGTGTCTCAATTTTATTGCGGGAAAAGAAAGTATATCTTATTTATGAAGATAGATAGTATAATAATCTTAACCATGTCACAATTGTTATAAAAAACCCGATTAGCATAGTTTCACAAATAGAAAACAGATAAAAATAAAGTGTATGAATCATGTATATTTATATAATAACAAAATCAATTCCACAAAAATGATTTTAAGACTGTCACAGTAAAATGTGTTCGTAAATAAACAGGTTTTACGTAAGATGAACTACCAAAAACATCTTGCAAATTTTATTTCACATCTGCTCTCAAAATGTTTACTTGCGTTAACCCAAATATATATACACAGATATAAAATCTTTATGCATTTATTAGATCAAAGTTGATTAAAGCCGCGCTAGATTTCTTGACGGTGTATCTATTAAGTTATGTAAATTAAAGTTTAATCTATCTAGTCTTTTTCCTTGAAACAAATCAAACAGCAAGAGCACACGCTTTTTAAATGCTGCAAATAATAAACCAGTAGGAGTACCGTATTCGGAAAGTAAAAGATTTATATATTTTAAAAGATGCTAAATTGATATTTAAACTCATGAGTCGAAAACGAACTGAAAAGCAGATAAATAGTATACAAAACACAACATAGAAAACTGAGCAACACGAACCCCACCTTAAATAGAGAGTGATCTCAGGTGCGCAAGAACGGTAAGCAGTTCCTGCTCAATATGTGGCACCCGTTGTGTTTCTCTTGTAGGTACAAACACGATAATAAGTCTTATTCGGTAGGTCAAATCGATGACAAGAGGACGGGAATGAATGTGGTTATAACAATTGGTACATATCCGTCGTCATATGTGAAAAAAATATTGCATATCGGTCAACCAACTCGTGATGGCGTCCGTAAAGTGTTCTATTGATTAATTGATTGGTGTTTAATGCCACTTTCAACACTATTTTGCTATTTCGTGGCGGTATGTTTTTATGGATGGAGGAAGCCGGAGTCCCCGGAGGAAACCAACGACCTTCTGAAACCCGTCTTTCCCTTTTGTTTATGTACAAAATGACACGTTTCTTAAAATCAGTATTATTGCTGTATTTATATTATTTCGTTTTAAAGATTTCGTTATACACTGGCTCACACAATGAAATTTCAGTTCAAACGAGTTAATTCGCGAAGCTCACCTGAACTGAAAATCACATGAATTTGTTTACGTTAATTTTCAAAAAAGGTATTCAAACACCATTAAAATCATGAAAAATACATATTTTCTTTATAAAGTTCAAGTAAAATTCACGTGAAAAATTTCACTTGAAATTAATGTGAATCTTAATTCACATGAAATTAACGTAAATTTTTTCATGTGAGTTACACGTATAATCTCGTTTGAGTTGAATTTCACATGAGTATTTTCACGTGAATGTCACGTGAACTTTACACAATAAATTAGCATTTTAGTTAAATTTAAAATTAGAATACAGTAAAAAAGTAAAATAGCAAAAATGCCGAACTCCAAGGAAAATTCAAAACGGAAAGTGTGTTTATCAAAAGGCAAAATCACAAGCTCAAACAGATCAAACGAAAGTTTACTTGCACCTTGTTCTTGCTAACAAAACGATCCTTAATACCAAAACCTTCCTGACTCAAAAATATATATGACGGTACCTTTAACATTTAGGAAAGTGATAATAGTTGCATCATTCTATACGAAATCGAAATTATAAACCATATTGTTAAAGTAATAAGCAGTAGCGTAACAAAATAGGTACACATATCAATTTGAAAAATTAGATATTGATAGATGTTATATCTTCCCTAGTTCCGGTTGTAATTCCTCATTGCTTGGAATTGTCTTGCATATCATTTCTCTTTTTGACAAAATAGTACTTAAGGTAATGAAATATTTATTTGACTCTTACATGTATCAGCTTCTAAGTTCACTTCTCCAAATAATATCCAATATCCATTCGATAAAATTTTTTCGATCTCTGTCCAGCTAGCCTCAGAATTCGGATATAGAAGCGCATAAAAAGACACGCTGTACCAAAACATTATGACAAACATAATTGTCATGAATGCAATAGTATGGTTAATCTGAAATTAGAATATACCAAACATGACCCGTACATAAATAAAAAAAACCAATAATATCACTTAGTAGGAAAACTTGTTCTTCTCTGATTTGAAAAGCAAATTCAGATTTTCATGTTGTAAATTTTAGCCTCGGCAGCTCGAAAAGTATCACTTTTATTGTGATAATGATGTTGATCATTTGATTTGAATATTTTTATTTACTACAATAGTTTTGGTAAAACGTTCAGTAGAAAAATGCTAACACAAATTGAAGAAATGGAGTAAAAAGTTAGGTTAACAACTTAGTGTCTTGATACCTTGCAATAGCAAGTAAGTGGATGAGAGGCAACAGTTCCGACTGTCCGTAATATTGAATTATTGAGATTATATTAAACCTTACGATTCGAAAATAACAAAGAAACTTATTATTTCCATAACCTCAAAGGGTGACTCGGGAATAGAAATATGGTCACTACAGGTCTTCTTTAGACCAGCAGTAAAACCCTTACCGAGGTGGGGCGTCCGTTTAGCTAAGCGGGATGTACAAGTTCGCAGCCACATCCGGTCAGAATGGGGATGTTAAATCCGATGCCTCTTGTAGAGAGAATGTCACGCTCTCTGCACGTTTAGAACCCTTGCAACAACACTTTGAGGGGTCCGTAGGTGGCCTGTTGCAAGACTTGAATTGTTTTATACTAGTCATTTTGGGGTCCTTTATAGCTTGCTGTTCGATGTGAGCCAAGGCTCCGTTTAGAAGACCGTACTTTTACCTATTATTGTTAACTTTTTATAAATTGTGACTTGGATGGAGAGTTGTCTCATGTGCACTCATACCACATCTTCGGATGTATATAGTCTTACATACCATCATTCGAATTATGATTAACTTTGGTCCGAGAAACTCATTTATGTAGTACAAACTGAGTAATCTTATGCAAATAAGCATAAATATTGCAACTAATAAACATTTTGACGTAGTTCGGAAAAAAGATCCTTCAACAGCTCTCAGTAGCATTCCAGACGTATATCCTATAATCAAAATGCAATCTGCTATGTTCCACCAATCACGAAAATATGGTTTGATTCTTTTTCTTACTAAAGCAACAATAACCTAAAACAAAATAGACATGTATATTAAACGGAACCAATTTAAGCTTATATATTACACACCTTCTATAAACTATTACACACCTCCTATTATATATTACACACCGTCTATAAACTATTACTAACCTCCTATAAACTATTACACACCTTCTTTAAACTATTACTCACCTTCTTCAAACTTTTACTCATATTCTATAGACTATAACACTACTATTATTCCGATAAGGTATCATTCATAAATAGCACACTTATAATTACAGCCAGTCATTAGTGATATTGTCCATTACACTTATACAAAACTGAGAGTGACTTGATAAAAGAAAGGCGAAAGATACCAAAAGGGACATTCAAACTCCTAAGTCGAAAATAAACTCACAACGCCATGACTAAAAAAGAAAAAGACAAACAGACAAACAATAGGACACAAAACACAACATAGAAAACTAAAAACTGAGCAACACGAACCCCACCAAAAACGGTTGGTGATCTCAATTGCTCCGGAAGGGTAAGTAGATCTTGCTCCACATGTGGCACCCGTCGTTATAATCTAGACACCATGTATCAGGAGCTAACTTGTAAACAACAACACGCTTTTCAGAAAATCATACAGGGGAAGACAAAGTAAAAAATAACCAAAATATACAAATGTACATAAACTCCATATTAAGTTCTTTTGAAACCTTTTAACATGAGCATAGAATGTTCATAATGGTAGATTGAAGTCATCTCCTTTGTCGCAGTTTTCAATTGACCCTGTCCGTCAAATATTAAGCGTAAGATAAAACTTTCATGAAACCTGTTTTGCTTCTCTGCAAAAGAATTATTTTATATTTGGTCTGCAGCTTGATAATGTTGAGTTGTAGCATTTGAGATATTTTTACATCTGCCGTACAGCAAATTCTTGTCTGCCGATAGTTCGATTTTACCACACTCGTTTAACAATGAAATATTTCGTTAAAATGACTGTTCTTCTATGAGAGGGCATGATCAGTTATGATTCAGTATGCATGTTACCTTATTTATTTGCGTACAGCGACGCAAGTCCAGACACGGTTTTGTCTTAATTGAAAGAGTTTTATATATATAATGTATAGCATTTTGTCATTCATTTCTACTCTGCCATCAGTGATACAATATTTCTATTAGTTTGTAATAAGGAATGCGTCTAAAGGGCGGAAAGGTTCAACAATTGATATTATGATTATTAAGTATAAGTAAAATTATCATAAATATGAATAAGATTCAACTGTTTAATCAAGGAAACAGTTGAGAAAAAGCATGAGATTTTGGACATATTTTACTGTCGACATAAGAGGTCACCTGTTTTGTTTCATTTACAAAGAAACTAGCCATCCACGCTATTATAATAAAGTCAATATAGGTGATTCCATCTTCTCTGTAGTCAAACAGCAACATGTATGCATATGCAAGAAGGAGAAAAGTGAATTCCAGCTGTAACATTAATAAATTAAACAAATGTTATTACAAAAATATATTGCCATAGCGTCATTATTTAGAAAATATTTGTTACACACTCTTAGCTTTGCAATGTTTTGTAGTCTAAATTGAAATTACAACTGTTGATATTATGCTGACGTGATTTTTTTTTTGGGGTTAATGTGTTATTCGTTGACGGACTTTAGTAGCGTACCATGCAGAAACATATAAACTTTTTGATGCTGTATGAATACGACATATTTATGTAACTTTTAATACGTTGATTGTTGATAAAACGAAATTGACTGGTTTGAAACGTTAAAAGAAATTTTAAACAAGTCAAGTGTGTATCGATTAACCAGTTGAATACTTAAACAAAACATTGAGTAATCTTGTGACAAAAGACAAGACACAATGAACACAATTAAGTGAATGCATTTCTTAGAAACAAAAAGATTTACAAGTATTATGTACTAATGATAAATAGAAAATTTCTGAATAATAGCCAACGATAAATCTTACGAGGCGATGGATCATATAAATATGATACAGTACACTACAAAATATAATAAGCAAGTCTATAAGGGTACAACATCACCAAAAAAATAGTAAAATCATGAATAATGATATGATGTGGTATGATTGCCAATGAGACAACTATCCACCAAAGTTCAAGTGAAGTGGATGTTAGCAATTATAGGCAACTGTAATGTTTACATTGTTTAGGTTTGCAAATTGTGTAAAATATGAACTTTCATACCGAATGTATAAATATTTTCATGAATGGCAGCTTGTACTTTTTGTAAAACCTGAAATAAATTGAAAAGTTAACGATTATTTTAGAATGGTTACCGGAATAAAAAATAGTTACTCTCATGATACCTGTATAGCTAGTTACTATGCATGTCATTAGGAAAGAACAAACTCGAACCCTTGAATCCCAAGGATGTGAAAACTTCAATATCCGAGAATCTGTAAGATAAGGCTCTCAAATCAACCAAAGGTCAATGTTAGGGTTTATCAGCAAAAACATAGTCCGATTTATATATGCTAAACTTCCCCTACAGTGCACACAAAATTACAATTTTCGTTGAAATATCGATCGACAAAATTCAACACTTATATATTGTCGATCAAAATGTCCAGCATTTTTACGATATAATCTTTGGTGACTATAGTCTTGGCATGCGTGTGATTATAAGTAAGTTAGATTTATCATGACCGAAACCAAGGTATTCATATTTACCATTCCCATTTTTGCATGATGTGATGGAAGAATTTTGGAGTGAATCTGCATAGCGAAATGAAGGTCTCGACACAAAAATATTGCTTTTGGGTTCCTGGGTTGGACTCTTACATATTCTATGTGATAGGTTGGTCGCTGTTTTTTCAACAACTAGTTGAATACATATAACGCAAATTAAGGATTTGACACATTAAGCATTAGCAATAAATTCTGCTTAGTAGGACGAGGCGATGAATTTACAGATGAACACCTGCCACAGACAACAATGGATAGGGACAACTATTAAGAGTTATTTAAATGGGTTTTTAACGTGCATAGATCATAGCACTCTCCCTTCAAGTGGCATCGGATATCACCCGCGAAAGCTGAGTATGACAAGGATATAATAAGATACGTAAAGAGTAACATGAACGATAGTAATTATCTTATTGGAAAGCAAAAACGATATCAAGTCAGGTGTGATTAGGGTTGATAGAACTCATTAAACGTTTTGATATAGTTCAATGAAATACATATTTTAACAGATACATAATTATAGATTATTAATGATTTTTCGAACGGGCGACAGCCCTGAGATGAGATGTGGCTGATAAACATCCTCGAGTTTGAAAGACCATTGATTATCTGTTTATCGCTATTTTGCCAATGAGGTCGTTCATGTTTACATTGACAACGTCACGTGCGCCCTTAGTTTCTGACGATAATATTCCATCTCCAGCGAGTAGCATGATATGAAAAATTATCACCAAAAAGATCAAAGGAAAAATGCACAAAATAGCGATAATTGCATTTATTGTAATACAGAAGGATGTTGAGTTGCAAAATTTATCTTACCAAAGTAATAGACGATTATCCATCTCCATGTTAATCATTAATAAAGGCATCACAAATAGATGGACTGAGAACAGAACAATATACCAAAAAGTCTGAAAACAAAACATTTATTACATATTTAATGTAGCTTTAGGTTCTAGTCTTGTTTACCAATTGTAACACCAATGATCTTATATTTTCATAACCTCATCATAGATACCATTCAGACGCGCGTTTCATCTACAAAAGTCTTAGCAGTGACATCGAAATATTTAAAGGCCAAATAAAGTACGAAGTTGAAGAGCATTGAAGACCTAAAATTCCGAAAGGTTTTGCCAAATACAGCTAGGTATCAATTCCTGCAGTAGAAAATCCTACGTTTTTCGAAAACTTGATGGCATATATATATATATCGTTCTATCGTTTCGTTATGATTAAAATGTCTTTTTGTATTTTCACGTTGGTATTCTCTTGTTTTTGGATGTTCTACATTGTTTAGATATTTGCCCTAGTATTCAAATTATTCTGCTCATTTTGAAAATTATCGAAAAATTTGATGAAGTTGTTTTGCGTATTTCTTTTTGTCTATTGTTTTCTCCTTTTTGGGGGGATGTGTGGGTAAGGTAGCATTTTTTTGATTGTCAATTAGTTCGTTCCTACATATTTGAGATTCTCCTTGTCTTACATTCGCTTCCTTACTTTCGTCATCTCTCCCCGTAACGGAACGATTTTAGATATAAACAAGCCAACGGATTAATCATATCAATGAAATGTTAGTTTTGTTTACTTACCGTCTGACCATCTATATTCTCTGTACCATACCACATCTTTTTTAAGATTTTCTTTACTGTGTCGTTTTCAACGAAATTTTGGTTTTTACTGCTGATAGCATCCATTAGATATCCATGATTCAACAAAAGCCTTCCTGCATGATTGATGGCATCACCCAGCTCTCTTTCCTCTGTTTTGTTCTCTTTTATTGTCATTTGTTTCTTTCGTTCCTTTGTAACATCAGCATCATAGATATGCCGAATTATGCAGATAACTCTTTCAGTGAAGGCACTTGAAAAATATATTAACAAAATGAAAAGACTTATATTTATATATATATATATATATATATATACCTCCCACATCTCCTTCACTTATAACTATTGTTAACAATTGAAGTTACATTACAGCATAGGGGAAGATTGAGCGTTTACAAACACATTGTTTCTGTGACTTTTCCAAGCCAGCTACATGTTATCCGTTGTTTGTCGTTGTTTATGTGACTTTTCCAAGCCAGCCACATGTTATCCGTTGTTTGTCGTTGTTTATGTGACTTTTCCAAGCCAGCTACATGTTATCCGTTGTTTGTCGTTTGTTTCTGTGACTTTTCCAAGCCAGCCACATGTTATCCGTTGTTTGTCGTTTGTTTATGTGACTTTTCCAAGCCAGCCACATGTTATCCGTTGTTTGTCGTTTGTTTCTGTGACTTTTCCAAGCCAGCCACATGTTATCCGTTGTTTGTCGTTTGTTTATGTGACTTTTCCAAGCCAGCCACATGTTATCTGTTGTTTGTCGTTTGTTTCTGTCTACCTTATCATTAACCATTCATTCTTATAGTATAAATCAGGTAATTTGATTTTTTCTTCTGAAATGTGTCACATTTTGTCTTTTAAAACTTACTATATGGTGTTTGGTTCACGCATTTAAAAAGGCCCATAAGATGACATGTAATTGTTAATATCTTTGTCCTATGGAAAGTTGTCTTATTGGCAATCGTATCTCATTTCCTTCTTTTGAATTAACTAGATACACATAAAATCAAGCAATAAACACTCATGCAGAAAAGAAATTGCTAAGTAGATTTACAAAACAAGCAAGTCATTTCTATGTGGAATATTGTTTATTAAGATTCAAATTTCTAGTCATTTCATTTGAAGATATTCACAAATCATCTAATCTCTGAGCAATTTAAAATTGCTATTTTGAATGAGGGCTTGTCATTTAATCATATGTTTTTATATTTTTTTAAATGCATGACCAAATCAGTGACGTCAACTGTACCTTTAGGTCGTAATAAGCTGTTGATGTTAAAATACAAACGTAAACGCTATCTTTAAATTAGTCTTTTAATATCAGATTTATTAAATAAAATTGAGAATGAAAAAGGGGAATGTGTCAAAGAGACAACAACCCGACCATAGAGCAGACAAGAGCCGAAGGCCACCAGTGGGTCTTCAATGCAGCGAGAAACTCCCGCACCCGGAGGCATCCTTCAGCTGGCTCCTAAACAAATATGTGTACTAGTTCAGTGAAAATGGACGTCATACTAAACTCCAAATTATACACAGGAAACTAAAATTAAAAATGATACAAGACTAACAAAGGCCAGAGGCTCCTGACTTGGGACAGGCGCAAAAATACGGCGGGGTTAAACATGTTTTTTGAGACCTATGCTACAATGCACATCTCATCGCAAAATTGACATTTGATTGCCAACATTAATGCTTTGGCTACACAAGAAGCATACACTACGTCGAGGTATTTAAAGCATTCGTCCTTTAAACGCATGAAATAATTGCAACTGGACGTTAAGTCAGCAGTCAATCAATCAGTAATAAACACGTTGTAATATGTTTTATTTTATTTGCATTATTACTTTTTTAAACGTTGTAGGTTTTCCTTCAAGTGTGTCGCTGTTTTCCAATTTCTGATTTCATCTTCTAATATAGCACACCCAACAAGAAGATGATGATTCCCAATCTGAATGAAGAAATGTTAATTTGGTCATCTTTTATAAGGTATTATATCTGAACCTATATTGTTTTCTGTTTGGTATTAAATTAAGAATTAAGATCCATTTTGTTACATCTGGTGATCCGTTTATTTGGCAATCGCCATGGCAGTCAGCAGGGTTTAAGAACATCCTTTTTTCGACCTGCTAGTCAAATGCGTTTTGTTAAAATATACTTTTTCACTTTTTTGGTATTTTGGAAAATGTTGTTTGTGCTGTATTTAGACCCCTCTACCATGAAATTTGTTTTGCATGCACACGTACAAAAATTGCGGTTTTTATCCAACGCAACCATAGGTTTGAACGTTGTTTTCAATTTAGACTTGTTTATATATATAGATATATATATTTTATATATTTTGTTTGTTCTCATTTTTTAAAATAAACTTCATCGAATAAACTGATATTTTGTGGTTTAATTCTTCGCTTCTTAACACAATTTGCAATACGAGTTTTTCAGATATAAATTAACGTAAGAGTAAATATATTTTTTCAGTCGGGCATCGTTCTTTCAACATTCTTGGATCGTCCTTATAGCGTTTGAGCATTGTTAGTACAATATTCGTGTATCTCCATACATCATTCGTTCATTATATAGATAATCATCTAGTTGACTACAGCTTCTCGTTATTTAATATTATATTGTATCATTTAGCGCATGGTATAAATTAGCCTTTCGTTCGTCGTAATATATCGTGCAGCGTTTCTTTCGTCATATGATGTATGGTATCGTTAGCGTTTCTGTAAGGGTATACTATATGATAATTTCCTTTATATAAACTCATCACATCTACAAGGCTTGTAATCTAGTGCGTCAGACGGGCGTTTAACAAATAAAATTGTATCGTTCTAAAATTGGTATTTTAATTTGAGTTGTATTTCGTCTTCATACGAATTTTCAGTAGCGCTTTAATTAACAAAGTTGGAAGGCGAACATTCAGTATGAAGTTAAAGAGCATTCAAACCCCTATTTTTAAAGTCGTAACAAATACGGATTATGTCAGCTATATACATCCTCGGATTTCAAATGTTTGGCTTTGAGCGTTTCTGATGAAGGTAAATCCAGAAAAGCGCTTCGGACGCATGAAATTATTAAACGTGTTGTTTTCAATTTTTTACATCACTGGGTCGATACCTCTGCTGGTGGACTATCAGTCCCCGAGGGTATCATCAGCTCAGTAGTCAGTACTTCGGTACTGACATGATTTATAACAAACCTTTCTAAAATTGTCTGTTTATAAGTTTTGAAATTATAAAGAAACTAAGGTTTCAACTCCCTCAGACAAAGTTGACCTTAGATGAATTTGGCTATTTATTTTAGGTTTTTTTGTCATATAGCTTTTCAACTGTTTCGGTACTTATACATCCCTCGGATATCAAATGTTTGGCTTTGAGCGTTCCTGATGAAGGTAAATCCAGAAAAGCGCTTCGGACGCATGAAATTATTAAACGTGTTGTTTTCAATTTGTTATTCTATACATGAGAGTAGAAACTATTTCAACAGTTAATAATAAAAGGATTGTATGATGAACTACAATTCCAGAAGTATCTGGATGTATCGGAATTAGAACAAAGATTAAACATGTATACCAGCAGCGGTAATGGTCCAATGCAAGTAAAATGTAAATAAAGCCAAACATTTGAAAATCGAATGTTTAAATACCTACTACCATATGGTCAATTCTTTTTGCAGTAAAAGATGACCTTTGAATATATTATGATGAGGTATGTACAACCAGCGGCGTAGGTCATATGTGGATTCTTAAGAATTCTAAAGATCTACTACAAAATCTTTAATCAGAATATTTATTGTTTTGCAGTTATATCAAATGTTTTTAATTTTCTACGAATGGCACTACTATTACCTATGCACAAATGACAGATCGACTACATCGTCTCATGAAACAGAGAGTTTTTTTTACAAAAATGGGGATCGTAGATACAAATTCCTTTTTATGGCCGTGATTAATCTTATTTTGTAAAAAAAAAAAATTACACCGATTTAAACCAAAAAAATACAATAAAAAAGACATAATGAATGTGCTTGACTTTTTAAACGACACTGTGGTTGAGTTTGGTGGATTGATAGTTCAACAGTCGGTATTCTAAGGGGAACTACTTATCAGAGACGGATTTAGGGAGGGCAGGGTGCCCCCCCCCCCCCCCCTTTGTCGGAAAAATGTGTTTGATTATTTAGGGAATCACTGAAGCATGACTAAGTGTGCCCCCTCTTGTGGCAGTCTGTGCCCCCCCCCCCCCCCTTTCCTTTATGAAAATTGCTGGATCCGCCACTACTAATACTAACTTGCTTACTTCTTTTTGTACCAGTATAAAGCAGAATTCATACAGAACTTTGTCAAAGACAAAACAAAATGCACCTTGCAAAGTTCTTTAGTTTCACTTTCAGACATACTGATGACATCCCTTCACTCAATAACCCACATGGGTGTTACCCTTACACATCAACCGCGTCAACAGAAATTTGAGGAAAGTTGACTATAATCGTTTTCGCGATATGATAACCTCGGTAAACTAATGTTTCCCATATTTACAGAACCTGTTGGAATTTTAGTATTCTTATATGTTATTGTTTTTTTTTTAAATTAGTGTACTTAATTCTTTCAGTTCCACATAACAAATCTACACATAGACGGATTGGAAATATTAGCTATCACACATTAAGACATCGGAAACCAGTTCATTTTGTTCTGTTGAGAGATGCATTGAATACTCGTAGGAAATAATGTTCTTTCCATATATTGCCGCCTTTGATCTGAATTAGAAATGAGTATTCAAATGTCGTGAAATACTACTGCATACTAAGTGCTATTAGTCAACGATTTACTGGTCGGTTCTATATTTATTCTTTTTCTTTTTATAAAAAATCTTTTCATTTGAACTTACATATTCCAAGTCTACAAGCTGTTGGGCACCAATCCAGTACTGTTTATGCAGCAAAGCCAAAAATACAAGACCGTAACATTCAGAATCCCTATTCATAAGCTTTGCTTCTGGTGCAGTAAAACCTTTTAAAACAAACAGCATCATTTGATATCATTTACTAATAAAATGTAAATAAGGTAATATATAAGACACATATTTTTATAATATTACTTTTGACATACGGTTAGAAATAAAATCAATAAATGAAGTATTAAACGGATACACGTACTAAATAAAATTGAGAATGGAAACGGGGAATATGTCAATGAGACAGCTATCCGATCAAAGAGCAGACAATAGCCCAAGGCCACCAATGGGTCTTCAATACAGAGAGAAAGTCCCGCACCCGGAGACCGACTTCAACTGGCCCCTAAACAAAAATGTGTACTAGTTCAGAGAAAATGGACGTCACACTAAACTCCGAAACATATGAACGAACCAAAATCTAAAAAAAAAAACATACAAGACTAACAAAGACAAGAAGTTCCTGACTTGTGACAGGCGCAAAAATGCGGCGGGGTTAAACATGTTTTGTGAGATCTCAACCCCCGGTATGCCAATGCTTCTTATTTTGCACCCATACTGGTATACTTGGTTTTGTTACTCATATCAAGCAGAATTGAAGAAAAATAGAAAAAAAAATCTTGCAAAGATCTTCAATTTCAATTTCAGATATATTGAGGGTTCCAGTCAATCAATACCTTCATTTCAGTGAGTGCTTGCATCTCATATATCGTAGTAAACTTGTGAATCAGAATAATCCCGTAATCAGAAAGTGCTTCAGTCCTTCATCTTTTCCTAGATTTTGACAAAAATTAAGGACGTCTAGCTATAATCTATCACAAACATAATGATTACAACTTTTTGTCAACGTCCTATTTTCTAGCAGGAACATCGTAAAGCGTTTACAAAATGTACATATCTTAGCTAATACAACTCTCGTACATGTTCACACTTTAACGACTTTATCATTTCCTTTTAAGTTATCATAATTCTTCTAATTGTAAATCTGTTATACAAATTATAAATGAAACCATTCCAAATGGTGCTATGAATCAGTTTCCGGACTTGTTAATGGCTCCGGTAAACTTATACTATAAATGACCAATTTAATAATATAACTCTATTCTTTTAGATTAATATCTGAAGTCATTTAACTACACAAGGTCATGTTTTTTTTCTGACTGTTAATGACGTTTTAACACTTAATCCATTGGATGTTGGACGTGTATTGATTAATATTTTAGTCTTAGACATTTTTTATTAGTTGTTATTGACCTTTAACTAGCTTTCAGTAACTGCGAGGACTCTCAGATCTGTACTTTCTTTTGTTTTTTTGTTATGTTTTTGTTATGTTCTTCGTATCGAACTGGTGAGTTGAGCCTTTTTCAACTGATTTTGATAGTTTGTACTTTTACACAAATGTTCCCGGTTATATATTATATAAGCCTTTTATAGCTTATTATGCGGTGTGGGTTTTGCTCATTGTTGAAGGCTGTATATAATTGTTAACTTTTGTCAGTTGGTCCCTGTTGAAGAGTTGCCTAATAAGCAATCATACCACATCTTTTTTATATTTATATATGCCATGCTCAACTAAATTGAAGTAAGTACTACAAAACAAAACAAACAAAACAAAACAAAACAAAGCAAAGCAAAACGAAACAAAACTAGCCTGAACAAAAACAGAAGATACAATCAAATCAAATATTGTTAAATGAAATCAACTACAAAGCTATAGATATATGAATTTAAAAGGCTTTCGAAATATTTGACACGCCAAAATGTTGTCTGAATTCTCGCATCGCAAAGCACAACTTCTGGATTTATTTATATCGGGGTTATATTGGATGAAGTTGTCTCAAATTTAATAAATGTATCAGGCACTTGACTAATACAGGAAGTCCTAATTTACATTAGAATATTTACCTAATTGCATACTTCCAAATCTTTAACAAGAAAGTCACAACTCAGTATGGAGACAAACAATTGTATGTCACAAAGACATCTATGACATAACCATGGTTTCATTTTGTAGTTTTTGTTAGGCTGAAGATTAATCAGAGTAATACTTTAAATATTCGAATAATAATATTGGTGTCAAGGTTTAATTAAAATCAATTTAAGTATTCGCTATATAACTATTTGATACAAACCTTTGTGATCAGGCAGTTTGTAATCCATGTCGGTAAAACATTTCTGGTTTGACCATAATTCCTTTATATATTCATACTCCTTTTTAAAATAAACACTAAATATGTAAAGATTGGTTAGGCCAATTCATTATAAAGCAAAGCAGTACAGTATCAAGTTAAATATGTAAAGATTGGTTAGGCCAATTCATTATAAAGCAAAGCAGTACAGTATCAAGTTAAATATGTAAAGATTGGTTAGGCCAATTCATTATAAAATAAAGCAGTACAGTATCAAGTTAAATATGTAAAGATTGGTTAGGCCAATTCATTATAAAGTAAAGCAGTACAGTATCAAGTTAAATATGTAAAGATTGGTTAGGCCAATTCATTATAAAGCAAAGCAGTACAGTATCAAGTTAAATATGTAAAGATTGGTTAGGCCAATTCATTATAAAGTAAAGCAGTACATTATCAAGTTAAATATGTAAAGATTGGTTAGGCCAATTCATTATAAAGTAAAGCAGTACAGTATCAAGTTAAATATGTAAAGATCGGTTAGGTCAATTCATTATAAAGTAAAGCAGTACAGTATCAAGTTAAATATGTAAAGATTGGTTAGGTCAATTCATTATAAAGTAAAGCAGTACAGTATCAAGTTAAATATATAAGTCAATTCATTATAAAGTAAAGCAGTACAGTATCAAGTTAAATATGTAAAGATTGGTTTGGCCAATTCATTATAAAGCAAAGCAGTACAGTATCAAGTTAAATATGTAAAGATTGGTTAGGCCAATTCATTATAAAGCAAAGCAGTACAGTATCAAGTTAAATATGTAAAGATTGGTTAGGCCAATTCATTATAAAGTAAAGCAGTACAGTATCAAGTTAAATATGTAAAGATTGGTTAGGCCAATTCATTATAAAGTAAAGCAGTACAGTATCAAGTTAAATATGTAAAGATTGGTTAGGTCAATTCATTATAAAGTAAAGCAGTACAGTATCAAGTTAAATATGTAAAGATTGGTTAGGTCAATTCATTATAAAGTAAAGCAGTACAGTATCAAGTTAAATATATGAGTCAATTCATTATAAAGTAAAGCAGTACAGTATCAAGTTAAATATATGAGTCAATTTATTATATGCATATTTGTCTCAGTTCTTTTATTTATTTGTTCAGTGTTCGGTGCATATTTGTCTCAAGTTCTTTTTACCCACAGCTGATTTATTTGAAAGCCTGTTGTGTGATTCATATGGGGAACACCGGATGTAGGTGTTAATGAAGATGTTTTTTATTCACGCATATAACTAATTGATAATTATTTCATTCTTTTTGTACACTGTTAACAACATTAGAACCTTCACCTCCTCATATATGTATTCTAGAGCACTCTTCAGATCGATTGGCCATTTTATGTACTTTTTTGGAATATTCCACTCCCCTTTCTTCAAAAGGTACATGAACAATGCAGTATGATTGTATGCATGTATTTCTTTCTGAAACATAAAATTCATGCCATGTTATTGAAACATAAGTAAAATATAAAATAACAATCATTAAAAATCGAATTTTTTGTGAGTTTTCTTTCCAACTAACTAAATGAAAAAAAAATAACCAGTGCTGACATAGAAAATAAAACATATACAAGAATGAACCCTTTGACGTGCAGAGCATGTCCTACTCGTAATTCAAAGTATCGGATAACATGAAGTAACTGTTTGACAGATCCGCAAAATGCTCATACGTTACAACTCATCACTGCAAAGCTCCTGGCCAAATATAAAGTCATAATGTTTAGTAGTCCCACCGCAAAAAATGTGGCATTAAATTCAATCGACAATTCGTTTGCAGTCAATTTAGTATTGTTCAGTAGCGTTTCAGACATTCAGCATGATGTTGATGGGTACAGGTAAGGAACAACTTCTAAACAATCTGAACATGGACTGAACAGATCTTAATTGACTGCAAGCAATTTGTCTAACATCACTGAATTTGCTGCGTTGGATAAGTTTGAAAATTATATTAAAGAATGAAAATGTCTTTACGACTTATTGTTCGGTCTTCCAATTATAAAAAAAAAGATGTGCTATGATTGTCAATGAGACAACCTTCCACCAGAGATAAGATGACGTAGAAGTTAAAAACTATTGGTCACCATACATTCCTCAACAATGAGCAAAACCCATACCGCATTGAGCTGTTCAGATCAAAATTGTATTACAATTCTACCAAAAAACATTCCTCAGATGTTCATTAGACGAAAGTCGGACATCGGTATCAGCATATATTTTTATTTTTTTATTTTGTCTAATACGTCTAAATTAGTGTTCAAACGTCGAAAAAGTAAAACCAACAAAAATACCGCTCAAAGATAAATTTGAAACGGAACGTCCTTTATCAAATAGCAAAAATAACAGTTCAAGCACACCAAACGAATGGAAAACAACTGTCGTATTCCTAACTTGGTACAGGCATTACCTTATGTAAAAAATGATGGATTAAACCTGGTTTTATAGCTAGCTAGACCTCTTAATTGTATGACAGTCGCATAAAATTCCATTATATTGACAAAAATGTGTGAACAAAACAAAGAGACATCATAGGCAAAAATGTAAAACATTGGGATACAGCATTCAACACCGTGTTATAATCGTAAACACTATAAAAACAAACAATCATTTCAACAAAGAAAAACAAAATGACAAATAGACAAAGCACATAAGCAAAAATGAAAGACAAGAATACATTGTGTGCAAAATAGCAAAATCTTAACCAAAATAGCATCATTTTAGGATCTTTTAACTACAATTTACACAATGTTTTTTTTTACAATATGTTAATATTTAAAAAAAATAGCATTTAGGGGTACAGCTCATATATCACTTGACTAAAAATATGCGTAAAATGAACATTATACGTCAGTATATGAACGGCAACAGGTTTATGTCGTGAAAGTGAAATCACAGATAACCTTTCTGCACTAAAGAGACAACTTGATATCAAGATGTTTCTGAATCAAAATGATAAACATAATTTTGTTATGCGTGACTAAGATAACTATTTTTGCAACTAATAAATAATGGTTTATATCATACCTCCACCTTTTTAGAGGATATTTATATTATTTCTCTGAGAAATACAACTTACAAATGTTTGCTCTGCTAAATCCTCGTCCATATAAACTAGAAATATAAGATAACACAATTTATACATAGATATACATTGTTATTGACCACTTAAATTTTGTAAGTTATATTTGAGGTATATTCCAAAAGACTTTGAAAGATACGGTGGGCAGTAAACACAAATACCAAATCATTTACAAACATTTTAGACTAAAATAAACATTTTTTCCAAACAGGCCATGAGTAGCTTTGATCAATTTCAGGACGAACCTATCTCTTAGTTCGTATCTATTTGACACAGAAAATAAGCCAACAGATGTACAATTTATAATGAGCAGTTTTTTTTTTTAACTTCCATTAATCTTTAATGACAATTTGGTATTAATGATATGTATATTTATGGTTGAATGAATACTTTTACTTGTTCAAAGTTTGAATTGTATCAAGAAATTGACAATACATTCTTGAAAACGGGTTGCTGCAAACAGAGAAGCTGTTGAACAAAGGGTTCCATGTGTTAAGTGGTAGTCATCCCTGTGAATATTTTACTTGCACTTTACGAAGATGTCTGACCGTTACGAAACAAGTTGTCGCAAATGAAAACGGACATGTTACAACGATCGTGGCCTTCCATGTTTTTGCCATGGCGTTGTCTGTTTCTCTTTAAATTATTTGTTTCGACTGTCTGATGTGTACCAACGCCTCTTTTTTTTTTTTTATTTCATGTGAAATAAGTCTGTAAACCTAAATTAATTCCTTAAACTGGAGTCATTCAAATCCAAATTGTGTATTAATACCTTATTGTGGAAATATACCTCTAATAAGCATCTGACAAACGATAATATCAAAGTCACACCAGTTTTCCGAAATAACATTATCAGACGGAAAATCATCCGTCACTGATTTTGTTTTCTTTAAACGCCATTCACTTTCAGTATCTGTTTTGTATTCTGTAAAACTCTGATCAACGTCTTCCGGCCATAAAACACTAACATCGGACATGTCGTTCTGGTATACATAAAATGGTAAATGTAGGAGTTAAACTAAAACATAATCATGACGAGAACCCAATGTTTTGTTCTTTCTTCTGAGTTCCAAAGTTTGTTTTGTTTTTTTCGTTTTTTGACATTCGTTGATAAAGCCGTACTACATTCCATGATTTGATTTCATAACTTTATTATGGGAAACATTCCGAAATGTGTCAAATTTGTTTCAAAACATAAAAATTGAGATTCAACAACATAAAAAAAAAGAAAAAGTTGGTTGCCAATATGGTGTATTGACAGAAATTATCCATCTGACAGTGAGAACTTAGTTTACACCAATTTAACCACTGACTAGTTGTTTTACTTCTATCGATAATTTGTAAAATATTCTGATTTTAATTTATTAGTATCTAAGACTAATTATTTTAACGTAAACTCAAACAAAAACATCATAAATTTATTGTTAAAAATATTGAGAGAATTACTTTTTTTAACATGAATATAAAATTTAAGTATATTCACGTATCGGAATAAATATCTTTTGTATGATTTGTTCAATTCAGTGAAATTTAAACACATTCAAATATATTTGTGAAATTTAAATTTCTTATGTATTTATGCATTCTTTGCGAAATGCAAACTAAGATCATTTTTTAAATGTTGTTCTTAGCAATACAATATTTTACCTTTAATCGAATAATAGGTATCTGCATCTTTTGGCTCTTCCAATTGTTTCCAATGGGTATAATGACAGGTACAACGTACAATCCAAAGAAATCTTTTATCAGCCAAAGAAAGAATTGAAACAAATTTTATAATAAAAAAAACCATAAGAATAGATAAATAGATTATCATAGATATATTCATAATGAGAATAGTAATAATACAAACTTAAATCAAAGTAACCGCATCGTACATACGTGGTATGTGACTATTCGTAGATTATGTGCCTTTACTGTAAGTCTAAACAGCATCATAATACCATGTTAATGTCTAATATTAAAATGCGTTTACCTTCTGTCACACTAGACAAAACTTAAAAACAAAAATAAAAAAATAAAACAAAGTCCCAGTCATTTAACCTCTCACTGAAATTCAAGATAACTCCTATATGTCATAGAAGTGAGAGGTCACGAACATGACAGTTGTGTTCCATTCGTTTGATGTGTTTGAGCTTTTGATTTTGTCATTTTATAAAGAACGTTCTTTTTTGAATTTCTTTGGAGTTCGGTATTTTTTGTTATTTAACTTTTTCCTAACAATGGTTGAATTTTATTAGTTGCGTTTTTAAGTATCACGTATACGTTGACTAATTTATTTGATGGCACTGCGGTTGTAATTTTATTTACACTAAGCATTCAATATATCATAACTATATCTTGGAGGTATACGCAATATCTATCTTTTAAACATTCTTTATTAAGTAGTAATCAATGTATCACTCATTAAGGATATCAGGCTTATAATTTAGTACGCAATACGACTTCGCCTACCAAACCCCCAAAAATGTTTATTTAGATTTAGCCACGCCCCTTTTACTGAAAAAACATTAATGTTTTGATAAATAAACATGTCATACAACTGTTAATATTTAAGTCATATTTAGAAAAAAGGGTAGTTATTTGTTAGATAACATACATTCTGCAATTTCATTAAAGTAATCCATTTCGTTTCCTGGTTTCCATGATCCATTGATGTCCACTCTTTCGAATCTACGAAATCCTTGTTTTACAAGTTCCTAAGAAAATATTGAAATCCATATATTATGTATCATTGGTATCATTCAACGGGATTGAGACCCAACATTTACAAACTCTTATGTGGTTACATACATTTATGATTAACAATGTATAATGAATTAAAATAATAATCATGCAAAATACATATTCAACGATTGCACATTTTTTTTATTGAACATAAGTACCTCAACGTACCATAATTATTGCTTTATCTGTCTTGTAGTGGATAAAAGCAATATCGTTAGAATCACAGATCAGTAAAACTCTTGTTCCTACAAAATGACAAGGCAATTTGGTCTGTCCTGAAAGAACGTGAAAAGAAAACAATTTATACATTTGTGGCGACCAAAGCGCTTCTCCTAATTGGCGTTAATCAGGATCGCACATACCCCAAAAATGTTTAACTACCGGAACACGTGATCAACTAGCTGACGAACCGATGCAAATCAAAACAAAGAAATCTTAGGTCAACCTCGACTGGGGGTAAAGAACCTTACTTTGTTAATAATTTTTCAATTGATAATTTAAAAACAAAAGTGTGTTATGAATCATGTCAGCACCTAAGCAGCGACTACATCGACGTAATATCTAAAACACTACAAATATTCCTACTCTTATTCCCCTCTCAAACCGTTGCTAAGGGACGTCTCAAGTTTTGTCATGAATTGATACTTCATATACTCTCTTTTCAATATGTTTCTCCGTGCTTGAGGTGTATGCTTCTATGTTTTTTAACATTTTTACCTTTTATGTTTGTTTGTTTTCCTCACACATTGCTGTCAACATAATTGAAATCTATGCGACTGTCATACAAGTGAGAGGTTTAGGTAATTATAAAACCAGGTTTATTCTACCATTTTCTAAATAAGGAAATGTCTTTACCAAATCAGGAATATGACAGTTGTTTTCAATTCGTTTGATGTGTTTGAGCTTTTAATTTTGCCATTTGATAAAGGACTTTCCGTTTTGAATTTTTCTGACGATGACTTCTCTCATATATGTGCTCGTTAGTATTTCCGCTATCGGCCATTTTGTTGATGGAATTGGTATACAGTTCGCAATATACATGTACATACGTCATTTTTTCCAAACTTCTAAAATATATCTCGTGTGCCTCGTTGTTGAATAAATGTTTGTATAGGATCTGCAGGCTAAGAGCAATTGTTGGAAATTTATGTATATACTATATACAAAAAAAGAAGATGTGGTATGTTTGTCAATGAGACAACTCTCCATATGAGACCAAATGACACAGAAATGTCTGGTTTCTTGGCCAGATATATATATAATTGATCATTTGTTTATGTTTCTCCATGTTTATATTCACCAATGCACAGTAGTTGTGTCTTGCAATGAATTCTGATCAAATCGGTGCTAGGAACCGTCTTAAACTTTAGGGAAGCGATAGTATATTGGAGATTATATCCAAATAGTATGCACATTTCCAAAAAAATGTTCCCCTCCGCTTTCAACCAGAGTTGCCGAGGATGACGAACTTAAAGCAGCAAAGATGAAATATCTTGCCTCTCGGGTGACTATTATCCAAGCGTTTCTTTAAGCGAATTCCTTCGAAAGAAAAAATTGTATAATCGATGGCAAGGTATTGGTGCTTAATATAAAATCATAAGATCCAAAATAAGAGAAATTAAAAATATTTTTTTCCCAGGAAATCCGGTATCTTTTATTTTGTTTCTTTTTTCTTTGAATTTTTCGATATTCTATTCCACAGATGGGTTTCTGCTGGCGATTGCTATTTTCGCACTTTGAGAAAAAATAAAAACTGTTGCGATTAAAATTCATTATTGGCGAAAGATTTTGCGAATAAATAATAACCGTTTGACTACGTCTATATTGTTGATTGTTTTCAGTTTTTTCGGACTTCTTCCCTGATCAGACGATACTGGGATTTCACCTTGAACTTGTCGCGCGTTACGATTGTGAAAGAAAATCAATAATCAGCTGATTGCACTTTTTAGCTATCGGTAACAATGGACTATTTAAAAAAAAAAGGGTGTTGATTGTGGATTTAATGAAATTGTGTGGTTAAATGGCGTTATATGTCACCTTAAGGATAGTTTTAAAACTTTGATAGAAATAATTATTTTGAAGTGGGTACTTAGCAATCGTTATAGGGATGCACGTGTTTTATTTGAATCATAGTTTTACATCTCAACTTTTTCTTTAAACGATGGCCAAGAACAGAAAACTGTTTAAATGAAGAAAAATGTTCAAAAGTTAGAAAATCTTTGACCTTATAGTCTTTTTCCTTGAACTTTGATAGAAGTAATTGTTTTGTAGTAGGTACTTCACATTCTTTTTTGCAACGCACGTGTTTGAAGCATAGTTTTACGTCTCAACTTTTTCTTTTAACGATGGTCCGGAAAAGAAATCTGTTGTTATGAAGAAAAATCTCTGACTTTAGTCTTCGTCCTTCAACTAGACGGAAAGTATCCGATAGACTTATTGAAAATGAATACAGTGTTCCCAGAAGTCAAAAATGATGATTTTATGATTTATATTGCAATTTCATAGTATCTTTAAAAAAAGTAAATATTTGTAATTGTTGAGTGTTTATTTGTTACAACGTAGACAGATTAAACAAAATATATGTAGAATCAGAGATTGTATTACATGTCTCCGCTAGAATTATAATAGATTAGACAACAATGCTGTAAAATGATTTTTTGTGTAACAAAGAAGAAAAAAATTTAAACGATAAAATATGTTTATGAAAGTGGCGAAAAATATATTATTTTGGCGAAAGAGGTGGACAAACTAAAAATTGAATCAGGTGAAACCCTGCCTTACAGTGTCATAAAATACCATTATATATTTGATATGAGCATCTTATCTTAAGGCAGTGTACTTGGTGGTAATGTTGACATCATATTAAATAATTGTATCTAATATTAAAGAAATCGAAAATAATTTCAAGAACTCCGGATTTTTCATAAATTTTTAGACCTTTATTCCTAAAAAGCTGTAAAATACCGTTACATTTTTATCTGACTGAATATATCAAGACACAGTACTTGGTGGTTACATTGAATTTTCACTTAATAAGCAAATTTGTAGATGCAATATCAGAGAAAATGTAAAAAAATACAGAAATCTGTTGTCTTTAATAATTCTTTTAATTTGTTTCCTCGAAATGCACGTGTATTGATTTGAATAGGTTATCTTCATGTGTTTTTGTATCAAAGATATCACATATACTAGTTAATGAAGTACTCTTTTATAAAAGTGTTATTTTCATTCGCGAAGAAGGTGACTACATCCCCCAACCCTACCCCCCAAAAAAACTCCAAAAAACCGGAAAGGACTACCAATATGACTAAGGAACATGTAGTTCCCTGTGCACCTGTACACTTAGTGTGGTTGGAGACATTTAAACACTAATAGATGACTCCCTACAAAACATTTTAAAATCATTGCCTTTGATTCACATGACATTGTTTTTTTTTCAATTTGTAATTTGTTCTAATAATTAAGAAAGCTTTGCATATACTTACTTGCAAAAGATATGACTTCTTCCATTAGTTTCAATCTGTCATCTACTTCTCGATTAGCAAATATGAGACACGTCAACGGTTTGTGTAACTTTCGTTTGTCTCCAAACCGCAACGATTCCCAACAGATCACCTCAATCTATAAATAAAAGTTCTATGATGCAATAAATTGGAAGAGAAAATTGATTATTAAAAACATATGCTGAAGATTATGATGACGATGAATATATTGCAATATGATCGTATCTGATATACATTGTTTGGAAAGCGCTAGTAGTAAAAAGTAAAACATTAGTTACTAGGCAGTCAATTATCAATGCTTAATCTGCATTGTAGACTGTTTTCTAAGAACTATTTTTTCTATCTTTGATGATATATAAGTCATTATTACATTTTATCAAAAATACCAAACTCCAAGCTTAATGTCCATATAACTTGACAAAACCAAACGCTCGACTATATTAAACAACGGAACGAAAGGAAAACAACAGTCATATTCCTGCCTTGAAACAAGCATTTTCGGATGAAAATAGTGGGTTTAACCTGGTTTAGTAGCTAGCTAAACCTTCCACTTTATCAACAAAATTGGATTAGCAACCCAAACAGACATAATTTGTTATCGTGACAACAAACGGGATCCAGCAGCCAAGTCACGTATTCCTATATATATAAGTTTTAGGATTTGTGCAACGATATTGATAAAAGATAAAGATATAAAAAAGATGGAATGAAATCGTATTGACAGATATTTCGGACCAACAAAAAGCCTTCATCAGTGTCAGTCCCTTCTCAAAATGTGATATAACAATGAGTTCTGTGTGTGTTAATAGAGCTCACACATTCATACAGGTGATCTTGTACTATGTCAAATTAAGTAGACGTGAACGGGTATCTTTGACATTACTGGATGTGTATTTTGTTAACCTACAATGTTTTACCATTAAGAACGTATGGGTCTAAAACGTGCGTGAAGAATTTCAACGAATCGTTTATGCTATATGAATTTGTTGCATTAGTTTAAAATGATTTTAAGTTTTTATCATGTTATCTAGTTGATGAATTTTTATTTGTAAATAAGTATTTTCGCTTTAAACTAAAGTTTTAGTAAATTGAAGGACTTCATGTCTGATTAAAAACAATTATATATATATATATTATAATATTTGAATAGCTCTTGCCGCGATAAAGCCGTTTTGTGCTGATGAGGCGTAAAGCAATCATCAATCAATCAATCAATTTAACCAGACAGACTCTACAAGAACATGGTATATTGAACTAAGTTTTTGGTTTTATAGCAATACAATTTTTATTTCATGTTTTTCATTACATATTTTACGTAACGATGATTTTGTGAATTTTGCTTTCATTTTCTATGTTACATTTTCATTTTAAAACTATAAATTCATGACCCGCAGAACGGATGGTGCTCATTTTTGCCTCATTGTCTTCTCTGTAAGGTTGTACTTTGTGTCATATTACTTTTATTTATATTGTCTTACATATACCGCGTCGGCCTTTTTTTCATGATTTGATGACAAAATGGGCAGGTTAAATTTACACTGTGTATAATTTTTGCTGAATGAGAAATACACGCGAAAAAATAACTATATCGTATTGATAAAGATGTAAACAACATAAACTTGTGTAACTGACAAGAAATCGAATACAAATAAATATGACTAATACAAACAAAAATACACATAATTCAGAGAACTTTTATGGAACGTAAATTATGTGCATTGGAGCATGCTTAAACTTGAAGGTTTTGATCATTACAGATATACAAAAATCCATGTAAATGTGAATTATTTTCATCTTATTTTTACATTACATGCAAAATGTTCGGATTATGACACAAATCAATAGATTAACATTCTCCATTTCCATTCTCATTCCCCATTTCCATTCTCAATTTTATTTAACATGTCACTGATTGCTGCGTTGTCAAAAGGTGTTGAATGTATGATTAATCGATATAATTATTATGAAAACAGAGATCTTAATTAAGTATGCTCATTCTTCAGATCCGTCGAAGAACACAAAAGACTCGGTAATTTACAGTATAATGTATGAAACTGTCGAACAACGATAAATCTTTCAATTTGCAGTGAAATTTACGCGGGGTTAAATTTTCGTGTTTTTTAGTAGCTGCGAATAAAGCGAAAATTAATCACACGCGAAAAAAACCCGATATACGGTACATCCAGTTGTCATTTTTATTCTCAGGACTATCATTTAAGATTACCAACAGACTTTAAAATTGTATTTTAATCAAATGCAGGATTTATAACATTCGTTTTCGGTGAACATTATTAAGAAACAACAAAACCTCTACCTTTTTCTGTGCGAATCCATCTCCGAACTCAACTATACACATACCACAATCGCCTAGAAATATAAAGATTAATCAACTAAAACACGTGTATATTATGTAAATATTCTTGAGGACTCTTTGTAGGTGGTAAAGTGAATCCAAACAGTTAAGAAAATGACTTCAATGTACTTTATAATATTTCATTATAAAAAATAACAAAAACAAATTACAACTAGTATGAATAGCTTGAATTTTCATAAAAAGTAAAATAACAAAAATACCGAACTCCAATAAAATTTCAAAACGGAAAGTCCCTTATCAAATGGCAAAATTAAAAGCTCAAACACATCAAACGAATGGAAAACAACTGATATATTCCTGAATTAGTACAGGCATTTTCCTTGTGTAGAATGGTGGATTAAACCTGGTAATATTGCTAGCTAAACCTCTTACTTATATGACAGTCGCATAGAACTCAATGGAATTGCCAACAAAATGTGTGAGCAAAACAACCAGACAAAATAGATATACATGTCAAAAATTGGGGTACAGCAGTCAATATTGTGGTCTAATCGCAATCACTATAAAAAAAGCAACTCTGTCAACAAAGAAAAACAAAATGGACTATAGATACTCTATAGACAAAGTACATAAGCAAAAATGAAAGACAAGAATACAAATATGACCATACCACAATAATACAATGTAGGGATGTATAAATACCGAGCCACGCCAAAAGGATATTATCAAAAATGGACTAAACAGTAAAGGTTTAAAATATACAAAGACACATAAAAAGAACAATGTTACACGTAATTGAGATGATAAACAACGTCAGTAACTAGAATCTACACTTCAAGACCATCATGTATTATTTGTGAAGGTGAAAAGGAATATTTATCAACAAGGTCTTGGTATCTTCCGATGGATTTTTTTTTGAAAAAGGACGCGACATTCTTTGACATCAACCTGATTCCTTACTTTTCTGCTCAGCCACTGGTGACGTTTTATAAACTGAGTAGCAGCTGTAAGCTCTTGAATACCGAATGAGTTGGGAAATGTATATTCCATATGCGTTGAAGTTTGTAAATTGCTGTTAAGATGGGAGAAATTTATAGTTTCGAAATTGAAATCGTCTCGTTTGTCATAGACTTTCCACAAATGTAAGAAGTATGTAAGTCAAAATATAACAGGCAGTCTACTGTTCCTAGTGTTGTAATTTACTAAGTTTGTACGGAAACTTCAACTTTTGATGATAATTAAAAATTGCAAATGTTTCTTCAGTATTGTAATTATATAAACTGTCCACAGTGGCTTTCATCCTAATCTTGAATTATAAATATCCTTTCATATTTTTTATAATCCATTTTGAATTTTCGTAAAATGCAGTTTGGTTTGCTTATATACTACAATACATTTGCCCAATCAATTATGCTTTATTTACAATTGGAAATGTTCCTCTAGAACATATATTATTGTTAAGTTACTCTTTTGAAATAAAACTTTGTAAAGAATAACACTGTTTGAACCCTTCAGTACAAATAAGTCAAAGACTTTTGTAATGTATCAAATCACTTTGTCCAATCTCTTGGACAATTAACAAAGCACATCATATTCCATTTTTTAATATAATACCGATTTAAAAGAGAGGCGAAAGATAACAAAAAAACATTCAAACTCACAAGTTGAAAATAAACCGAACACGCCATGGCAAAAAAAAGAAAAAGCCACACAGACAAAAAACAGTACACAAATCACAACTTAGAAAACTAAAGACTGAGCAACACAAACCCCAACAAAAACTGGGGGTGATCTCATGTGATCCGGAATTGTAAGCAGATCCTGCTCCACATGTGGCACCCTTCGTGTTGCTAATGTCAGTACAAAACAAGTGATACGTCTAATTCGGTATGTCATATTCGGGGAAAAGGGGCCGAGATTGTAGTTACGACAATTGGAACATATCTGTAGGGCAGTCTTGGTTTAAAAGCTTCCTTGTGAGCAGCAACCCTCTAACAAGGAAATCATGATAGGAAATACAACCCTGGAATATCGTATCAACTGGGAGATATATACTCCGTATGCAGTTGCTGCTGGAATGTTGCTGCATAAAATTGGAAAGTTCACAATTGGGAAGCTGAAATCATCTCTTGGGTCGCAGAAAATCCCGCTGACGGAAGGACAAGAACTTGCAAGCGCAATCTAAATATATTGTTGCTGTTTATTTTCATATGCTAGTAGTGTAATATAACCATGTAAAGCTATTGTCTTCTCAGGTCAATTAAAAATCTCATATAAAAGTGAAAAACATTTTCATCATGTAAGGTCAATTAAAAAGATGAAATGCCGAGATGTATCATTGCCATGTCACTTTATAGCATCTACTGTGTTTCAGAATAGTCGGACAAAGAAAGATGTCAATCTAAATGGTTGAAAGCTCAGAGAAATAGAGTAAGTATATAATTGCAATTCAAACCCACCATATATTTATAATATATATGAGTATATCCAATACCTTCAATATACTGTCTTTTTAAATCTGTAATTTTGTAACCATAGAAGGTTTTACAATGTAATATCCTCCCACCAACACTTTTATGGCCTTGAATTTCCTGTTAAAAATAAATAAGCTTAAACATTACAAAAAGCTGTTAAAACAATTTCAATACTTTTTTTCTGACAGCACACTTGTATGGCCTTGAATTTCCTGTTTAAAATATATAAGCTTAAACATTACAACATAAGGCTATTAAAACAACATAAATACTTATTTTTTTATCAGAGACATTCAGAAGGGTCAACAATCTCCATAGTTTATGAGAACATATTATTAAAAAGGTCAAGGTTTTATCTATATCTACTGAATTCTGTTGATGAAAATTTTCTACAAATGATGAAAATTCAAATGGGCAACGTTGTGTTGCATTTATTTATTACAGCACATCTAAGGACACACTTCTATCTGTTACCAAATTAGGAATATTCTCCTTTACTGAATTTCTCTCTGAATCGTAAATCCAACTTATTTTAAATTTAAGCTTAAAAGTACGAACAAGGGTCACAATATACTAGTATAACGTTTGTTATGGCTTTTGTGTAACACCAAAGTTACAACATAAAATTACACCAAAAGTTAAGCAATAATTGAATTTATTGAAAAAAAATTGGTCTTGATTATATTTTGTTGAGAGAATTTCTACATCATATATGACAAGAAATTAAAAGAAGTTTTTTCAATATAAAGTTGGTAAAACCAATCAATGTATGTCTTTGTACACTTGGTTTATTTATAAGTTGAAGGTTTTAAATACCAAGTCCTCTTATATATTGTAATTTTATGGTTTATTTTTTAGTGATTGTGCTAATGATTAGTTAAATAAGTCCTATCCAACTGATTGTAACAGGTTGTTATTATGTTGTGCAATTACAACGGTCTTGCAGGTAAGTAAGAGTGGAGCCCTCACATACAATTTACACTCGGCTAAACAATGTATGTGCCTGACCTAGGAGACTGTTAATCTGTGGTTGACGTCCTATTTATTTTCTGTCCCATGATACTGTTATTTTGCGGTTAACGTCCTATTTATGTGTCTGTCTTAAGATATTGTTATTTTATGGTTGACGTGTGTAGCTGTATGCAATCTTCTATTTTGTTTATACCTTTTGTATTAATGAACCATATTTTTCTTTTGAATTGTTTCATTCCGTCATATCTTTAATTCAGGCAGCAAAAATGATTTAACAAATACCATTTAACAACACGTTATTCTACTATGTTAATATTATTAGCTCATGGACTGACGCAGCCAAAGAAACATAACAATACAATGCTCAGGTCTATACATGAATGAATAGTTTGGTAATGTGGTTCATCTATGAGTTCAGTCGTCCATTTGTAGTCAGTCCTGTACTAAATAAAAATTAAAGAGATGTGGTATGATTGCAAAAGAGACTACTCTCCACCAGGGATTAAAAAACAAAGAAGCTAACAATTATAGATCATCGTAAGGCCTTCAACAATGAGCAAGACCCATACAGCCTTGTAAGCTATAAAAAGCACTGAAATGACAAATATAAAACAAATCAAACGAGAAAACTAATGGCCTGATAACCGATTAGAATAGTCAATCCGTCAGACGCTAGATAGAAATAAGTGGTAAAGTCTTTCCGTTAGACGATAGAAAAAAATGAATACCAGGAATGGTTCTTTCATTGCTGAAAGTCAATCCGTCAGACGATAGAATAAATGATGGCCAGGAATGGTTGAAATGTTTTAAAGTATTTAGTATTACCCAGGTTGGGAAAAAAGTGCCTGAACATCATTTGTATTTAAATTGACTAAATAACTATTGTTTTATTTAAAGTTTTGATATTTCAAAGATATTTAGGGTGGGATGTACTTACCAAGTTCTTTGTTTTTCGACGACCCTCATCTTCAGATTCCGATTCCTGGAAAAGACATACATGCATCTCTATCAAGACGGTGCGTGAAAACTTTGGAAATAAATGATATGAAATAACCCCATATCTATTGATCATCTGTAATATCTTTAACGGTACAAATCTTATTGTACCAGATGTGCATTTTGAAAAATAATGTCCCTTTGGTGAGGTTTGAGCCAAAAATATTTCGTAATCGAAAATCTGTTACGAACGTTTAAGAGATAACTTGATGCAGTTTAATGAAATAGTTTATTTTAAGGCAAACAGTAGACAATATAGTTTTACTTCAAAGAAATTCCCGATAGAGATGGTTTTTCTTTACTTATATTAAAAGGATATCTCTCTCCTGTTAACATTAAACAATATAGTAAAATTTCTATTAAATATTGCAAATCTATTTTGGTTTAAAAAAATACGAAGGAGATAAATCACAAAACCCCTACAAATGAACTTTAAAGCTATATGTTTTATGACTTATCATTATATTAGTATGCAGAAGTTTGGTCACTTGTTCAATAATTTTTCGCTCAATTTGTTTATTTAAAGAACTATTTTTTTTAAATTATAATAACGATTTCATTTCTGTTTTTCTAAGAGACAAATGAATGTTGAATGTTAAATGCACGTGGTGCGTCACTAAATTGTACAGATAAACATGTGATTACTAAGGAAAGAGGCGTTATTTTTATTGTGCATTTATTTGTATATTTTAAGATAATGACAACATGTTAGGTCGTCGCTATGGAACTGAGTGTGCATATTATTATAGAGGACTTGACATCATCCCCGTTTTTTTGTAGGACTCGTGTTACTCAATCGTTAGATTTGTATGCGGTGGTTGTCTTTTCGCCATAGTTAAAGTCGTATGTTTGTCTTCTGCTTGTAAGTTTAAATATCCCTTTAGTATCGTCTGCTTCTCTGTTTAAACTACCATGGACATGACGTATTCAGTTGTTGAACCAGCACGTACTTTTATACATTTTATTTCTGCTGTAACATTTAATTCGTTATGGGCTTCCTTGGAGTTTACATAAAAAAACATAAAAAAACGAATTTGAATAAAATGTTCACCATACCGATTTGGTAATCCAGTCTGTATCCGTCGAACCAGGCATTAATTCTATAACTTCTGAAACAAATCAAACCAAAACCTTAAAATGTTGTTTTTCATTTTAGCCATGCGATGTTTTCTCTTCGACTTATACGAATTTTGACTGACACTTTGTTTCTCCCGATTTTTTCCTTTATTCATAATTGTGCCTTCTAAAAGATTTAAGCTATTATCACATTGATAAAATCACTTGCCTCTTAAACATATCGTTATGTTTAATGGATTATGTTCGAACATACTTTGGTTTACAATCATGAGCCTTTAAAAATAGTTGTTGGCTAATTTTATTTTGCCAAAATGTATCTGTTTCGATGTTATTTTAACAATGTATGATGTCAATAGCTATAGGTTGTTAAATATATCTTATACGTTGGTTAACTAAATTATCACAAAAGAAAAACAAGTAGGCATAAAAAAAAACAAGAAGTAATATAACAAAAATAACATAAATAACGAACTCCAAGGGAAATTCAAATCGAAAAGTCCCTTATCAAATGGCAAAATCAAAACAGCAAACACATCAAACGAATTGAAAACAACTGTCGTATTCCTGACTTGGTACAGGCATTTCGTAATGTCGAAAATTTTGGTTTAAACCTGGTTTATAGCTAGTTAAACCTCTCACTGACTATCATATAAAATTCCATTATATTGACAACAATGTGTGTACAAAACAAACACACATAATAGGTTAAAATGTCAACAATAGGGGTACAGCAGTCAACATTGTGTTATATAATCTTAATCAATATAAAAACAAACAAAAATGTCAACAAAGAAAAACATGGCATATAGACAAAGCACATAAGCAAAAATGAAAGATTGGAAATACAAAAAGGGCTACAGCACAACAACAAACGAACAAAAGAACAAACCAATTACAGAATAGAAACACATAAGAATGTTACTCTACGGAAGAAAATTAAAAGAAAAATAACAATAGATTGAATACATAGTTATCGATTGATACAGTGTAGCCTTTGAAAAATATTACATATTTTGATATAAAAAAAAATGAAATGTATAGAAATTTACACCAACATTTTGTATAAATATTGTTTTTTTCTTCCTTTCCTCCATATATCAAATTTTTTTAACATTATGGACAAAATAAGACTATTTTTTTCACTAAACAACCGATTAGTTACATTAGATATTTCGGAAAACGTTATTTCGAAAATATGTCGTTTTTCTTTTGTATTTTTGTGCGCACCATTGGTGGTAATGCCTTATTTTAAACACTCGTCGGTAAATTCAATATTTAAGTAACTTACAATGAAGAAATATTAACTATTTTTTCAATGATTGATCCACTATAATTGCATTTTTTTTTTAAATTTCATTTCGAAGACTGGTTGAGCAGCCATACACCGTATTTAAGCGAAGGTCTAACATTAGAATAGAGAATGGAAACGCGGAATGTGTCAAAAAGACAACAACCCGACCAAATAGCATAAAACAGTCCAGGGCCCCCAATGGGTCATCAACGTAGCGCGAAAATTCCCAACCCGAGGGCGGGCTTCAGCTGATCCCTGAATTAACTTACTTATGTAATGGTCGACGCTTTTATATTTCTGAAAGTTAACAAGTGCGCATTAAAGTAATGTCCGATAAAAAATTAATGTTACCGGACATCGTTATTGTTATGACTCAATGTAATCGTTGGATTAATTTACAATTAACAATTAACATCAACATCAACATCATTGCATATGACGTCCATTTGATGTATACTGATATATATATATATATGTTATCTGGCATATATATGTTGTCTTAAACATATATGTTGTCTTGGATATGTATGTTGTCTTGGATACATATATTTCTTGGATATATATGTTGTCTTGGATATACATGTTGTCTAGGATATATATGTTGTCTAGGATGTATGATTTTATTAGTTTTTGGCTATGAACTAGCTTTCAGTAACTGAATAATCTTAGATTGGTACTTTGTTTCTTTATAAAAATATTAAAATGAGGGAAGTATAACCGCAAATCCAATAAGAAACTAATCAGAAAATAATGAAGTAGACGTTAGTAAGGGAATATAAGGAGATGAGGTATGATTGCCAATGAGACAACTATCTACAGGAGTTCAAATGAAGTTGATGTAAGCAATTGTAGGCAATCATACGGCCCTCTACACAAAGTGTTTTTTTAAAGTTTTTTTAATCTGTGTATCGATATGAGTCAGGTCTTTTATAAAAGATATTTTTTAGGGGGGCGGGGCTTTTATTATTTTATCGATAGTTGCTTTATTGACATTCATCCCATTAACTTTTATTTCAGTTTATATACAACTTACCAGCCATCACGCTGAAACTTCTAAGTCCAATTTTGCTTCAACCAGATGTTATGATGATGCAGACCACAAATATGATAGTTATTGTTAAATCTCATATGAAAAGATACATGTATAAAATTAAGAATGCATGACAATTAAAACTACCAATTGTGAATCTTAATATTCAATACTTTTAGTACAATCTCAAAAAATTAAAGCATATTTCGTAATAAGTAATAAAAAAAAAGCATTCTATACACATTTGATCATGCGTCCGTATATTTAAACATGCATTGGGATAGTAAACAGGATATGCGAAAAAGGTAAAATAACAAAAATCACGAACTCCATGGCAAACTCCAAACGGAAATGGCAAATATAAAAGCTCAAACACATCAAACGAATTAAAAACAATTGTTGTATTCCTGACTTGGTACTACCATTTCCTTATGTAGAAAATGGTGGATTAAACCTGTTTTTATAGCTAGCTAAACCTCTCACGTTCATGCAAGTCGTTTAGAATTCCACTATCTTGACAACAATGTGTATCAGGTGTAATACCACCATTGATTTTCCCCTATTAGTCTTTGTTAAATTTGCACTTTTCAAAAAATTGTGCAGAATTTATCTTTGTTTCAAATAAAGAAATACTTGGCATGAGTAAAGTTTGATCCTGTCCAGTACTATAGAAAAAATTTCACATAACATTTCATTGCATATAAGAAAATAACCATCACTGGAAGTTAACCAATCAAATTTTCCCCCTTTTTTAACCTGTGTACAAGCTTTAGTAACCATGTAACCTCAAGTTTCCAAAATATTCTATAGAAACCCCAAATAAAAAAATAATGGTGCTTTGAAATACCCAAGATATATGTTTATGACCCAGAAATGTTTTACTGCAATGAAATGTAGGATCAATTACCTACAACTGTCAAATTCAAGGGAATATTTTTTTTCGACCTATTTTCGTATGCAACCGGATGTGACATACTATGATTTGGTGGTATTACACCTAAAGAAGACTTTTTTGTTAAATAAACTGAATGTGACTTTGTTCCTTTGTAATACTGGTTATTTCAAGCATTCCTGTCAAGTTTTGTCATAATCAGTTCAATAGTTTGAGAAAAATCTAGTATAATGTAAGACGACATCTACAGCGATTCGAGCTAAATTTCTTCGAAAAATCCAAACCAAGCCGCATCATGATAGAATATAGTGTGGACCAATAAATGATCAAATATTTATCTCATCTGCCTACAAACAGTTGAATATGATACAAAAGATGATTTTAGGATGATAAATACTACTAATGGACCTCTTTGTCTTCCTTATAAGGTCTCTTTTGGTCCATTTATACCTCTCATTTCCTCAAAATTTCTACTTTATAGGCCAATAAATAAAAATTTTGGGGTAACTTTCACTCATTTATGATAGAAATGTTATAATAAATGATTAATTGAAGTATTCAAGCTGAATGAACTATCCGTATAAAAGTTTACTGTCTCCAAGGAGGTTTCAATAAGTCCTTACGTAAAACTTAAATTTACGCCGTGTTCCAGAGAGGGACATAAAAAGCTTCTCTTTTGGTGAATAATTTGTTGTTACTGCTTTAAAAATAATTTCATTTACTTAAAACTATATATTTATTAAAGTATTTCTTAGGAAAAATTTTCTAGTATAGCAAAATATATAAGAAAAAAGGAGAAAAAGCTCCCCAAACTCTAAGTATGGCATATTCTGTCAACTAATATTCATGGTAAAGTCCTATTTCAAGGAAATTTTCTCATAAAATGTGTTTTGGAGACTCAATCCACTCAGAATATTTCATTATTAGTAATATTTCACTTAAATAGCAAGAAATTTTAACACATGAGAGTACTCACAAGGTCAAAGGTGCATGTACAGCTTCCCATATTAGGTGTAATACCACCATTGATTTTCCCCTATTAGTCTTTGTTAAATTTGCACTTTTCAAAAAATTGTGCAGAATTTATCTTTGTTTCAAATAAAGAAATACTTGGCATGAGTAAAGTTTGATCCTGTCCAGTACTATAGAAAAAATTTCACATAACATTTCATTGCATATAAGAAAATAACCATCACTGGAAGTTAACCAATCAAATTTTCCCCCTTTTTTAACCTGTGTACAAGCTTTAGTAACCATGTAACCTCAAGTTTCCAAAATATTCTATAGAAACCCCAAATAAAAAAATAATGGTGCTTTGAAATACCCAAGATATATGTTTATGACCCAGAAATGTTTTACTGCAATGAAATGTAGGATCAATTACCTACAACTGTCAAATTCAAGGGAATATTTTTTTTCGACCTATTTTCGTATGCAACCGGATGTGACATACTATGATTTGGTGGTATTACACCTATCACAATAAGAACAAATAACTAGTTCCACAAATAAAAACAGAATGGCATATGAACATTCTACAGATCAAGTACATAAGGAAAAATGAAAGACAAGAATACAAACCAAAGTACAATAACACAATGTGGCGGGATGTATAAATACCGAGCCATGTCAAAAGTATATTACCAAACCTGGACTAAACAGTAAAGTTTAATAATATACAATGGCAAATAAAAAGAACACTATAACACGTAATGAAGATGATAGTACCGAGAATCTATACTGTAAGACCATCATGTATCATTTGTAAAGTTAATATATATTTATCAACTAGGTCTTGGTATCTTTCAATGGCCTGTTTCAGAAAAAAAACGAGACATTCTTGGACATAATCCTGGTTCATCAACTTTTATTTAGTCTGAGTAGCAGCCGCAAGCTGCTGAATACCGAATGAGTTGGGAAATGTATATCCCATATGCAGGTGATGTTGGCATATTGCTGTTAAGGTGGGGGAAATTTATAATTTCAAATTTAAAATCGTCTTGTTTGTCATATATTCTGGTACTGACATGACCGCTAATGTCAAATTCAAAGTATAAGTCTAAACATGAGGCTGAGGAAGCCGTGTCTGTTGTTTATTTAATTTCTAGTTCTGAAGGAAATATTAATGGAACCCAATCAGAAAAGTTTTGATTGTTAATGGGAAGAAAATCATCAATATATCTTAACGTGAAATTAAATGACCTGTTATTAACAAGGTTTTTTTTCAGGGTATGCAATACAGGATAATTTTATATATAAAGGTTTAATTGAAGCGTCTATATCAGAATTTTGGAACAACTTAAAATATGATTTATCTGAATAGTACATGGTAAAAATAAAAGGTTATGTCTACCTGTCATATCGATGAGTGAAGGTAATGATTCATCATACAAAACTCGATATATTAAATTAACTATTATGACTTTGATGACACTTTCTGATCATTCTTTATTAAAATTTTAATGTACACGGTGTTTATAGTGTTCATAGGAAAACTGTCACATGCGTTACTCTGTCCCATAGACTTGCACTTAGCAAAAGAAAAAAAGATTTTGTAGAATTATAGCCTCCACATAAAATGTGCGGTCATTAATTGGTGCTGGAGAGTAACTCAACAAGAAAACGATAATATGTACTCGACCAGTATTGTTAACAGACTGTGTTAAAACACGCAATCTTTGATGTCGGGAACATTATTTTTTGGGCAACAGTAGTTTACCGATGTTCAGATCCTTTCCAACAATATACAAAACGAGCATAAACAAAAAATGAGGAGCGAGACGGGATGCAACGCCAGTGTGAGCGTCTCCTGCTATATATTCATCGCCCGATATACCAATCCACACCCAGTAAACATGTCAAAATTTGGATTGAAGGATTGTTTGTTGTTCCACGTCCAGTGGCAAAATTTGTTCACGAAATCTTTAAAACACATGGCTCGAACAAAATTTGACTTTTCCTTTTTTATGCGGTTGCTGTATGAACCATACTCAAAAATAAAGCTACCTATATGACAAGTCGTTGTTATATTCATATTTGTTTCTTATCTATACATTATTCTCCTGTTGGAGACCGTATGTTAAAATGCAAGTCGAGTTTTTTATTGTTTTTTTTATCTAGAAATAAGATGTGATATGAGTGTCAATGAGACAACTCTCCATCCAAGTCACAATGTGTAAAAAGAAAACAATTATAGGTCAAACCTATACCAAAGGTATTAACCACATCAACAAACAACAACCACTGAACAACAGGTTCCTGACTTATCTGTTGTTTTTTGTGTGAAGAATAATTTTTACTCAAAATTTAATGCATAGAACACGCTATAATGCTCCCAGTAGTATTTAGAAAACACTCTGATCGTTTTTTTCCCGTTGGTTGATGTGTCGTACAAATATGCACTGGATCACTTACTATTCTTACTAGATTAACGGGAACAGAACAAAATAAAACGCGAACACTTGATTGTTGGAAAATATCTTTCCTCTAAGTAAATAAGGAAGATATCCTGAAACACAATTGTTTGAACACCTTAACTAAACAGTTGTTAGTATCAGGGGTAAATAATCGTGAAACTAAACCAACCAAGGTACAATTGAAAATTCAAAATCTAATAAAGACTTTTAGTATAATTTAACCCTAAAGCATCACCAAATCCGGATAAAGAATTAGATATTTGGTGGATTGATTGTTGGTTGACTAACGTCAAGTGGAAAATATTGTCTGCATGTTCAGGACAAGAACAAATTTACAGTTCATACAATAGGAAGGTCTTGTAATCGAGGCCGACAGGAATGAAGGTCGGGGAAATTTAGACTGCAACGGGAAAAAGAGGCTATATTGGATAGGGACATATATTTTGCCTTCTAACAGCCCACATATGACCTATCTAGGATTAATAACAAGGGTTCTCAACGTATACAGAGCATGGCACTTTCTCTACACAAGACATCGGATTTTAACGTCCCTATTTTGACCGAAAAATATTTCTGAAAACTTTACGACAGAATATTTCGAGAGAAAGCTAATTAGCCAGGAAGAGGTCGCCTCCATTAATTGAAAATATATACATGGGCAACGATCTATTGTTATAAAATATTAAAGCAAAAATGGCAAAGCCAAAATAAAGGTCTTCAAAGCCTTCTCTTCTAGCATGTAGATGCATTTTGACTCAACGGTAGGAAATATTAAATTGCTTTCAGTTGTCTTCTTTAGAAATCTCGTCATAACTCACTCTGTTTGTAAACATGTATATACATCGCATGTATTTATCTATTATAAGATTTATT